ACATTTCATGTGGTAAAAAAAATTTTTTTTCATACTTTTGGGCGTCTTGCACGATTAAATCTGGAGTATCTGAGAGAGTTAGAGCAAAGGAAGGGGTAGCAGTAATGTTAAATGATCAGTTTATGGAAGGAGAAAAGAGAATATGAATGTGTAAATTCAAGAATTATGTGGATTAAAGTAAAGGTTGGATGCGAGAAGTGGGTCATAATAAGCGTGTATGCACCTGGAGAAGAGAGGAATGCAGAGGAGAGAGAGAGATTTTGGGAGATGTTAAGTGAATGTATAGGAGCCTTTGAACCAAGTGAGAGAGAGAATTGTGGTAGGGGACTTGAATGCTAAAGTAGGAGAAACTTTTAGAGAGGGTGTGGTAGGTAAGTTTGGGGTGCCAGGTGTAAATGATAATGGGAGCCCTTTGATTGAACTTTGTATAGAAAGGGGTTTAGTTATAGGTAATACATATTTTAAGAAAAAGAGGATAAATAAGTATACACGATATGATGTAGGGCGAAATGACAGTAGTTTGTTGGATTATGTATTGGTAGATAAAAGACTGTTTGAGTAGACTTCAGGATGTACATGTTTATAGAGGGGCCACAGATATATCAGATCACTTTCTAGTTGTAGCTACACTGAGAGTAAAAGGTAGATGGGATACAGGAGAATAGAAGCATCAGGGAAGAGAGAGTAAAGGTTATAAACTAAAAGAGGAGGCAGTTAGGGTAAGATATAAACAGCTATTGGAGGATAGATGGGCTAATGAGAGCATAGGCAATGGGGTCGAAGAGGTATGGGGTAGGTTTAAAAATGTAGTGTTAGAGTGTTCAGCAGAAGTTTGTGGTTACAGGAAAGTGGGTGCAGGAGGGAAGAGGAGCGATTGGTGGAATGATGATGTAAAGAGAGTAGTAAGGGAGAAAAAGTTAGCATATGAGAAGTTTTTACAAAGTAGAAGTGATGCAAGGAGGGAAGAGTATATGGAGAAAAAGAGAGAAGTTAAGAGAGTGGTGAAGCAATGTAAAAAGAGAGCAAATGAGAGAGTGGGTGAGATGTTATCAACAAATTTTTGTTGAAAATAAGAAAAAGTTTTGGAGTGAGATTAACAAGTTAAGAAAGCCTAGAGAACAAATGGATTTGTCAGTTAAAAATAGGAGAGGAGAGTTATTAAATGGAGATTAGAGGTATTGGGAAGATGGAAGGAATATTTTGAGGAATTGTTAAATGTTGATGAAGATAGGGAAGCTGTGATTTCGTGTATAGGGCAAGGAGGAATAACATCTGTAGGAGTGAGGAATGAGTCAGTTGTGAGTGTGGGGGAAGTTCGTGAGGCAGTAGGTAAAATGAAAGGGGTAAGGCAGCCGGGATTGATGGAATAAAGATAGAAATGTTAAAGCAGTGGGGATATAGTTTTGGAGTGGTTGGTGCAATTATTTAATAAATGTATGGAAGAGGGTAAGGTACCTAGGATTGGCAGAGAGCATGCATATTTCCTTGTATAAAGGCAAAGGGGATAAAAGAGAGTGCAAAATTATAGGGGGATAAGTCTGTTGAGTGTACCTGGTAAAGTGTATGGTAGAGTTATAATTGAAAGAATTAAGAGTAAGACGGAGAATTAGGATAGCAGATGAACAAGGAGGCTTTAGGAAAGGTAGGGTGTGGGACCAGGTGTTTACAGTGAAACATATAAGTGAACAGTATTAGATAAGGCTAAAGAGGTCTTTGTGGCATTTATGGATTTGGAAAAGGCGTATGACAGGTGGATAGGGGGGCAATGTTGGCAGATGTTGCAAGTGTATGGTGTAGGAGGTAGGTTACTGAAAGCAGTGAAGAGTTTTTACGAGGATAGTGAGGCTCAAGTTAGAGTATGTAGGAAAGAGGGGAATTTTTTCCCAGTAAAAGTAGGCCTTAGACAAGGATGTGTGATGTCACCGTGGTTGTTTAATATATTTATAGATGGGGTTGTAAGAGAAGTAAATGCGAGGGTCTTGGCAAGAGGCGTGAAGTTAAAAGATAAAGAATCACACACAAAGTGGGAGTTGTCACAGCTGCTCTTTGCTGATGACACTGTGCTCTTTGGGAGATTCTGAAGAGAAGTTGCAGAGATTGGTGGATGAATTTGGTAGGGTGTGCAAAAGAAGAAAATTAAAGGTGAATACAGGAAAGAGTAAGGTTATGAGGATAACAAAAAGATTAGGTGATGAAAGATTGAATATCAGATTGGAGGGAGAGAGTATGGAGGAGGTGAACGTATTCAATATTTGGGAGTGGACGTGTCAGCGGATGGGTCTATGAAAGATGAGTGAATCATAGAATTGATGAGGGAAAAAGAGTGAGTGGTGCACTTAGGAGTCTGTGGAGACAAAGAACTTTGTCCTTGGAGGCAAAGAGGGGAATGTATGAGAGTAAGTTTTACCAACGCTCTTATATGGGTGTGAAGCGTGGGTGATGAATGTTGCAGCGAGGAGAAGGCTGGAGGCAGTGGAGATGTCATGTCTGAGGGCAATGTGTGGTTGAATATAATGCAGAGAATTCGTAGTTTGGAAGTTAGGAGGAGGTGCGGGATTACCAAAACTGTTGTCCAGAGGGCTGAGGAAGGGTTGTTGAGGTGGTTCGGACATGTAGAGAGAATGGAGCGAAACAGAATGACTTCAAGATGTATCAGTCTGTAGTGGAAGGAAGGCGGGGTAGGGGTCGGCCTAGGAAGGGTTGGAGGGAGGGGGTAAAGGAGGTTTTGTGTGCGAGGGGCTTGGACTTCCAGCAGCATGCGTGAGCGTGTTTGATAGGAGTGAATGGAGACAAATGGTTTTTAATACTTGACGTGCTGTTGGAGTGTGAGCAAAGTAACATTTATGAAGGGATTCAGGGAAACCGGCAGGCCGGACTTGAGTCCTGGAGATGGGAAGTACAGTGCCTGCACTCTGAAGGAGGGGTGTTAATGTTGCAGTTTAAAAACTGTAGTGTAAAGCACCCTTCTGGCAAGACAGTGATGGAGTGAATGATGGTGAAAGTTTTTCTTTTTCGGGCCACCCTGCCTTGGTGGGAATCGGCCGGTGTGATAATAATAATAATAATAATATTTCTTATGGGGAAAATTCATTCGCATAACGATTATTTCGCATAACAATTATCCCTCTTGCACGGATTAAAATCGTTAACCGGGGGTCCACTGTATACCTCTTTCTTTACTTTAATAGATGCAATAATTAAGTCTTTTTTCCTGTCATGTGAGTGGAATCTAAGCGTAACACTTTTTCTACCATGGGATCCTAGTAACCTGGCTTCTTTTATTTCAGACTCAGGTACAATAACACTTGTTTGGTCCTTTATGATCTGCAGAGTAATTTATTTACTGTTTGTTTGGTTCATATCACTGGGAAAAAGTGGACTGTTAACTATTACTGCGTCCGATAGTTTATCTTGTTCAGTTTTATCTTCTTGGAGAGCAAAGTAGTCACTGAACTGGTTATCTAAGTTGTTCTTCCATTCTTTTACTGCTTCTTCAACCTTTGTATTAAGAGATATTATTTGCTGGGTATGGCTATCTATGACTGTTTGGATGGTCTTGTCACAGTTAGTCATTCCTGGTGTTGATAACTTTTGTTCAAGACTGAGGATTATGTTCTCGAGTTGTGTCATCCTGGTGTCTTGTTTTGTTAGTGTCTCTCGAAGATTCATATTTTCAATAACTAAGGTGGAGATGCATGACTTTAGGGTATCTGGATCGTTGGTCATACCTGAGAGACTACTTGGTAGGTTGAATCCGGGGAAGAGAGGGGTGGATGGGCTGGTGGCAGCCATGTTTGTTGTTATTGTTGTGGTGTCGCCTTGAGCGGTGGTGAGTGGGGTGGTTGCTGGGCCGGCGTCCTCCTGGCTACACTTGTTGAACAGTTGATTTTTCGGTGTTTTCTTGCTGGCCTTGGTGCTGTTTCCTCTTAGATTGCGCCTCATAATACTACAGGAATTGTTGTAGTTAAGAAGAAGTTGTAGTTATACAAAGCTTAGGGTTACGTTGTTCGGCTGGCAGCGGGGTGTTGCTTTTGGTTTGTGGGCAGTCTTCCTTTGATCTCTATTATTTTCGATTTGTATGTTTCACTGTTGGTAATCTTTGGTCATTCTGGGTGCTACGTTGGGTAGTGCAGTTTTGCTTGTAACTAGGTCATCATAGGAGCATTGGTGGCTCTGATAGTTGGAAAAAAGTACGGAGCTTGGAGGTCGCTGCTGCCGCTGCCACTGCCGAAGAAGGCTTTAATTCGCTTTACAGTGATTTCTGCTGTATGGCAATAGATGGAACCTAACCTGCTGTTTAAGTGGCACCATCCTGTGCCTTTCACCATCCTTTCTACAGTTATAAAACTAATTATCATTATTAAATATCTATTCTCAATATAAGTGTGAAAGATCCAGAGCAACCTTAAACACTGTCACCAACCTCAACAATAACTACATTATCAAAGATAAAATATTTACAAATAAAATGCTAGGAGCAAGGAGCTAGTAACACCTTCTCTTGTATATATTACTAAATGCTGGGAGCAAGAGGTTAGTAACATATTTTTCTGGATAAATTACTAAACATAAAAAGAAAACTTTACGGTTTTTCTTCTTTTTCGGGTCACACTGCCTGGGTGGGAGACGGCCAGTACATTAAAAAAAAAAAAATAAGTGCAAGACTTTGCGATTTTTTTTTTTTTTTTAACAAGTCGGCCGTCTCCCACCGAGGCAGGGTGACCCAAAAAAGAAAGAAAATCCCCAAAAAGAAAATACTTTCATCATCATTCAACACTTTCACCACACTCACACATTATCACTTTTTTTGCAGAGGTGCTCAGAATACAACAGTTTAGAAGCATACACATATAAAGGTACACAACATATCCCTCCAAACTGCCAGTATCCCAAACCCCTCTCTTTAAAGTGCAGGCATTGTACTTCCCATTTCCAGGACTCATTAATCAAGAAGTAAAAAAGTGTACTATGATAAAACATCGAGAATATAAAATACTTACTTCAATGCACATGGCAAACATAGCCACCGGTGTGAGATCAGGAGAGTCATCTGGTGAGGACCGGTACAGTGAATATGGCAGAAGACTCACTAACATCAACAAGACAGTCATCACTACAGACACAACTACTTGATGACTCTGTTAGAAGAACAATCATTATCCTAAGACAAGAATATCATTCAGGTGAATATGACAATCTTAAATTAATGAAAAATTAATAAGAACCACTAGTTTAACCTTACTACCTGCAACAAACTTCTTCCCAAGGATTATTATTATTATTAATATAGTCATGGACAGTATTAAACCCACAAGGAACATTAATCGCTGCATGGAAGAGTTGAAAAGAGATGGTTACGGGTTGAGACATGGAAGAATGATGGTCAGGGCATCAGCAGAGAGGATGGATGGGTCACAGTTAATGTACCAGCTGCATATAAGACATTATAGAGTACTATCTGCATTAAGAGCGGGACTGTCAGAAGAGGAACTACAACATGTGTATCAGGGCACCATGCATTCTAAACTTTGACTTGAATTAATTTAACATCCAGTTAAATTAATTTAACGTCTAGTTAGGTTAATTTAACTTCTACTTATATTAATTTAAAATCTACTTGCCAACTCTTACTTATCTCTCACTTGCAACTACGTCTGATGAATAAAAAATATTATTTTTTTACATATGAAAAATTCAAATTTAAAAACTGATGAGACAATAATGAGTAAGAAAGCCACCTGTATGATTATTTATAATTTTTTGTATGATTATTTATTGATGATTCACTGTATGATTATTCATTTATGGTCATGCATGTGTGATTATATATCTGCAGTCACAGGGTGGGAGGGGGAAGGGAAGGGAGGGGGAAGGGATGGGGAGGAGGAGAATATGCCTGGAGTATATATGGAGGGGGTTTCAGGGATCAACACCCCTGCAGCCCGGTCTATGACCAGGCCTCATGGTGGATCAGGGCCTGATCAAACAGGCTGTTACTGTTGGCTGCATGTGAACCGATGTACGAGCCACAGCCCGGCTGGTCAGGTACTGACTAAGTGTCTGTTCAGCGCCTTCTTCAAGACAGCCAGGGGTCTATTGGTAATTCCCCTTATGTATGCTGGGAGGCAACTGAACAGTCTTGGGCCCCTGACATTTATTGTATTGTCTCTTAGTGCACTCATGATGCCCCTGCTTTTCACTGGGGGAATGTTGCATCTCCTGCCGAGTCTTTTGCTTTTGTAGGAAGTGATTTCCATGTGCAAATTTGGGACTAGTTCCTCGAGGATTGTCCAAGTGTATATTAACACGTATATTTCTCACCTGCATTCCAGGGAGTACAAATCAAGGGGCTTCAACCATTTCCAGAAATTTAGGTGCTTTATCGTACTTATACGTGCTGTGAAAGTTATCTGTACATTCTCCAGGTTTGCAATTTCACCTGCCTTGAAAGGGGCCATTAATGTACAGCAATATTACCCAGGGGGCAAGAGAAGGGGTAAGGGAAGGGAAGGGGAGGGGGAACGGAAGGGGAGGGAAGGCAGAGATCCGCTCACAGTGTCACATCTTCAGTAAACACTAACACACCATATGTATAAACAGTCTCTCCTCACTTAACGACGGAGTTCCTTTCTTAAGGCCACATCGTTAAACGAATTCATCGCTAAGTGAGGAGCATACGTACTGATATTGTTTTAAAGTCACCGTTTCACCATATATAACACTTCTGGTACATTTTTAAATGTTTATACAGTAGTGTACTGTATACTGAAATAAATATAATAGAGGAAATCAGCTTTAATACGTATTATTTAGGTATGAATACTGGTCAGAGAGCCCGTCGTAAGTCTGAGGCGTCAGTAAACGAGTACATCACTAAATGAGGAGAGGCTGTATATTATACTGGTTTCCAGTGCTTGTAACACTACCTCCTCTTACATTGTATTTCAGTAATAGGCCTCTTATACTTTTGTATAGAAAGATTTATTATACATTTTGTCACTCCTTTTAACCACTGAGGTTGCCAAAAAATTCTGTATTATGCATTTTATTTATTCTCTCTTTTTTTTGTAAAGAAAACATACAGCTGTCCCTCCATATCGAAGCCGTACCATGGATACCCGAAACCCAAGACAGTAGCAAACCCTATAAGTCATTTTTCGTTACATACATACCTATGATAAAGTTTAATTAATATTTTTTTTTTTTTTATTATTATCACACTGGCCGATTCCCACCAAGGCAGGGTGGCCCGAAAAAGAAAAACTTTCACCATCATTAATTAATAAATTATGCATAATAAGTAGAGAATTATCACTTCTTCATTGAAGAACTGTTATCAAAACTACATCTGTGCATAGGTGCCATTAAGCAAAATTTAGGCTTATTTTTGGGCCAGGGTAAACTGTGGAAACCAAACTTTTGATATGGAGGCTCTACTGTAATTATATATTTTTGTCACATTTGTTTTACCATTGATGGTACCACGAAATTTTTTTTATTAATTTTCTCTTTTTTTTATGATATTATGCACAGTTAAATTTCATCTTTCCACCTGTCAATCAATGAGGGCATCTTTGTTCTTATATCAATTATATCTCAGGTTCAGGAAAAATTTTAAAAAGATTAAAGATTAAAGATTTTATTTCTTTGTAAAAGTTACAATGTGTAATTACAATTTTGATTTGTTAAGTACAAAGAAAGCCAATATCATGCCGGGGCATTTCGGGCAGACTAATCCTAATACATAATAAATACTTAAGTCTAGACAAGATACGAATGGTTAACTTTTTAATAAATCTTTATCTTAATACTAATGCGAGGTAGTCAGGCTGGAGGCTTATAAGAATAATAATCTTGAAGTTGCATGTATTATGTACCCAAGTGCCCCATGACCTGGTGGCTAAAGCTCTCGCATCACACAGCAAGGGTCTGGGTTCGATTCCCAGTGAGGGTAGAAACACTGGGCATATTTCTTTACACTGGATGTCTAAGTTCACCCATCAGTGAAATGGTTATCTGGGTGTTAGTCGACTGGTATGGGTCGCATCCTGGAACAAAACTGACCAAATTTGCGGGAAATGCCCTGCATAACAAGCGGCTTTCTATATAGCAGTATGTCACTGATGTCAGCTAGGCCTGTATACCTTGTACAAGTACCTGTAGTAAATAAAGATATTATTATATTATTACATGCGGTGATAAAGCATGAAGGTCGCTCAGTGTAAGCAGTAATGGAGGCTTGGTCCTCTCTCTTAATAACACGATAAACAAGATTTAAAAGCTTCTCTCTTAATTACTTCTCTTTATCCACAGGATATTAACTAACCCCTTTCATTGTCCAGATATCTGATCTGAGAACTGCTCTTAGTCTCCAAGAATCCCCCCCCCCCAAAAAAAAAAAAAAAAAAATTAGTTTTTCGTATGAAATGGTAGAGAATCTTTTTCACAAGGTAATGAAACTGAAAGTACAAAATTTGATGAAAAACTGACGAAATTATGCTCTCGTGAATTTTGCCAAATCAGCGATATTTACATATTGGTGATTTTGTCCACTTTGAGTCCTATTTTAGGCCAAATACATTGTTCCAATAGACCAATTCTTAACTATTTTGCAAGTATGTCTTCCATTTTATCAACTGAGCACTAGAAACTGCCCAATTGACTATTTCAACCACCCAGTAAAGTGATCAGAAATTGGTAATTTTGCCAATGTCATACAAATTTCAAAATATTCCAATTTCTATTTTAAAATAGGGTCCAGAATAAACGATGCAGGCATTCCAGGCACTAAAATAGCATTTCCTTTGTTCATTAGTTATATTCCCAAGCTTTACACATGAATTCTATTTTGAATTTTTATTCACGCAAAAAATTGAGAATTTACTTTTAAGCAATATTGTAATAATTGTATAAATAATATCAGTGCATTTGTGAATGTATCTTAGACCCACTAGTTGACATGTATTGGACACGTGATGTGATTTGTTTACTCTTAAACATCAGAAATAATCAAACATTTCTGCTGCTCTGAGTTCAATTTCAAGCTATTTTTAATGCAGAAACCAATGAAAATTATCTTTATATCTGTAATATATCTTCCATTCTATCAAATAAGACCAAGAAACTAAGACTACATCCATAAAAACCACACAAAAGTACACTGAAAAATCGCTATTTTAAACCAAAAACACAGTTGCATTTTTTTTCATTTTGCACTGAGTGCTGCAGGATATTTTTCATACAGTGCACACTCACCGCACAGACCCATTTTCTCATATACATGTATAGGCCTAAATTTACCGCTCGCAGCTTATCTGTGTTACTACAGTAGTACAGTACGGATGGCGAAGTGGCTATACACGAGAGGAAAAGAATAATTCCTTCATAAGGCACGTGTGTCGTACAAGGGAACTAAAATGCTGGGAGCAAGGTGCTGGTAACCCCATAAAGCACAGCTCCTGGCCCCACTGTTTACCTCTAATAAACTGGCATATGAGCCGTCTTCAGTATAAGTACTACTTCTTTATAATTACATTTTTTATTACATATTTGTAATTACAGTAGTAGAAATATGCTGGTGGTGTAGCATCTAGTCATAATTGTACATTACATATATTATTGCAAGTGAGAACAAACTATTACAAAAAGGACATCTGTTGACAAAGTTTTGAACTGACGGAAAGAACGCTAGCACTTCACACGTTAAATACACGTCAAACACAGCAATGATATGAGACATTATTATCAACCATGAGGCAGAGTCAACATCCAAGTATAGTATAGGAGTACAGTAATGTATATTACAGTACAGTAATGTATAGTACTAGAAGTACAGTAATGTATAGTACAGGAGTACAGTAATGTAGTGGCAGAGTACAGTAATACGTATATAGTACAGGAGTACAGTAATTTACAGTATAGTACTGTACTTTTCTACTTGCAGCTCCAGCATTGGCAGCACAACTTACAGAGATAACAAGGACCAAGGGAGACATAACAACAACATACAAAATACTAAAAAGACTAGAGAGAGTGGAAAGGGATAGTGTTTGAGAGGAGAAAAAGGTCATACGTAGACACAGTTAAAGAGACAGACAAGTCACAGAGATGTCAGGAAATATTCTTCAACCTAAGGGCGATTACAGAGTGGAATGACCTGGATGAAGAAGTGACGGAAGCAGACTCCCACGAGGCAGTTAAGAGGCAGGGCCAGGAGCTGAGACTCAACCCCTGCAATCACAAATAAGCAAACACAGGAAATGATGCAGTCAAACATGAGCTGAGGTCATTTTCGACAGATTATTTCCATGGTCCAAGATGTGTGAGGTCAAACACGTACAAGACCAGTGTGAGCCTTACTCTAGCCTGGTTCATGACTGATAACAACACAGAAGAGAATACTTAAAGCTACCAGAGTTTCCTGAACACTTACACAGTCTTGTGCCAGATATTATAACATATACACCACTTGTCTTGTCTATTATGTTTCTGAATGTTGGTAGAGTGAATGTGAGTGTAATCGGTTAACATTAACAAAGTGAATGTGGGTGTCATCTTAACATTAACAAAGTGAATGTTGGTAGAGTGAATGTGGGTGTTATCTTATCATTAACCCCTAAACGGTCCAAACGTATATATACGTTCACTCGCGTAGCGCCCCAAATTTTTTGAGAAAAAAAAAAATAGTTTTTTTAATAGGAAAAAAGAGCATATGGTACCCAGGGGTCCCCAATTATTTTAATATGGTGCACAGTGAGTGCGCACACCCATTCTCTCATGTCTAGGCGACTCAGGCTTATCGTGGCAATGTTGAATGAACGACAAATAAAACATATATACAGTGGACCCCTGACATTCGATATTAATCCGTTCCTGAGAGCCATCGAATGTCGAAAATATCGAAAGTCAAATTAATTTTCCCCATAAGAAATAATGGAAATCAAATTAATCCGTGCAAGACACCCAAAGTATGAAAAAAAAAAAATTCCACATGAAATATTAAGTTTAATGCAATAGAATAATTACAATAACAACAATAACAATAAAGTTAATAACAATAGAATAATTGACACTTACCTTTAATGAAGATCTGGTGATGATTGATGGGATGGGAGGAGGGCAGAGTGTGGATGGTGTTAGTGTTTAGAAGGGGAATCCCCTTCCATTAGGACTTGAACTGGCAGCCTCACCATGCCTTACCACACTGTGTATGCCACTACGATTCTTAAATCTTTCAAACCAACCTTTGCTGGCCTTAAATTCACTCACATCACCACTAGTTGCAGGCAATTTCTTTACCAAATCAGCATGCACTCCGACACACGCACTCCACTTTCGTACTTTGCAATTATCTCTTTCTTCATTTCAATAGTCATTAGCACCTTTTTTCTCGAAGGGTTGGTACTAGAAGCTTTCTTGGTGCCCATGGTTACTTATTTTGCAGAAACAAGCACCAAAAACAGTGATAATATGGATAATATGGAATGTACCGAATGTATCCTTAGATGCGCGCACACTGGCTGGATTGTAAACACTGGCACACACTGGGCAGTTCAGGCCACATGTGGACACGTCTTGTACGAATCGTATTGAATGTCAGGTTTTCCATCGAATGTCGAGGCGAAATTTTTGCGTTAAAATGCATCGAATGTCAGGGGTCCACTGTATACGTTTGGGGTGCTACGCAAGAGAACGTATATACATATATGTTTGAACCGTTTAGGGGTTAATAAAGTGAATGTTGGTAGAGCGAATATGGGTGTAATCTTAACATTAACAATCAGTTATTTTAACCAATGCCAGGTCTTGATCACTGTGAATAATAACTACCAGCCAGGTCTTGATCACTGTGAATAATGAATACCTTGGAATGGTCAAATTATTCAAATTCACACTATTCAAATTATATGTAATTTTTGCACGAGTTGAAGAGTTTTGGCAAAAACTAGCATAAATTAATTTTGCACTGACTGAACTTGCATGAATCAAGACCTAACTGTATATAGACAATTTTAACACACAAAACTGAGCGTTACTGTGGTACCAGTGATTTGTAAATTTTAATGCTAACTCTGATAACAACAAAAATTGGTGCCAGAAATGGCTATCAGGATACTGCAAAGTCCACTTTTAAAACTAATATTTATTTTAAAACCATCCAAAATATTCTAAGTTCAAAAAACAATGCAAATCATCTGTACAGTTGATTTAAAATTTATATTTGAATTGTATTAATAAAAAGATTTTCAGTATATTATATACTACTAGCAAAAAGGAAGTATGGTAAATGAATGAAATACTGAATAAAAATAAAATGAAACGTGTAAACTCATATGGTACCCTAAGCAGAGATAAACAACTACGTTGTGAGGTAAATACCAACCTTGTAGCTCTGTGATCGAGAGTAAATATACAGAGAGACCGAAGCAATGGCAAACGTCACGGCAACAGCCAAGCACGATGTCCAATGAGTAGTCTGCAAGACTGACCAATAAACTGCCCAGGTTACAGTGCTCACAAATATGTATATAAGAGCATATTGGAACCTCAGAGTTAGTGTCGACAATGATGACTGCCGATACTGTCCCTCAAGGATGTCACTGTCAAATCTGAAAGAGAGAATATTATCATCAGTACACTTCTGAAACACGTGGAAATCTTTAGTGTGGAAATGTTTCACCAACAAGTGGCTTCTTCAGTCAGATACAGAGATGTATGGTGGAAGATGAGAAGGAGTTTGAGGTAATCAGTCCCTCAACTCAGCCTGGAGTCGATGTACTCAGTCCATCAACTAGTTGGTAGTCACCAACCAAAGGTTGTTGTCTACCAACCTACTACCTCACATAATACCTCCCTGTAAGGTTGTTGTCCAACAACTTACTACCTCACATAATACCTCCCTCAGAGATTGTTGTCTACCTTCCTACCTACCTACATCAATACACAAAGGTGGTGACCCCAAAAATGTAAACAACTTTAGGCCAATATCAAATGTGCCTTCACTTTTCAAAAACTTCAAGAAGCTTATACACAAAAGGTTATACCCCTTCATTACATCACATAAGCACAAATGATGCAATAATAAAAATGCTAGACCTACTTTACAAAGCATTTGCAACAACTAATACTCCCTTGGACTCTCTATCGACCTTAAGAAAGCTTTTGATACAGTAGACCACAGCATCCTTCTCCTCAATCTTGATCATTATGGAATAAGAGGCCATACACTTGCATATATCAAGTCTTACCTTACTAATAGAAAGCAATACATCTCTATCAAGGACACAACCTCTTCAACAAGACCCCCAGATACTGGTGCACCACAGGGAAGCATTCTTGGCCCTCTGGTATAAGTAACTTACCCTGGTATACGTGGCTTACCCTGGTATAAGTGGCTTACCCTGGTATAAGTAACTTACCCTGGTATAAGTAACATATTTGGCATAAGTAACATACCTGGTGTAACATACCTGGTATAAATAACATACCTGGTATTAGTAACATACCTGGTATTAGTAACATACCTGGTATAAGTAACATACCTGGTATAAATAATATACCTGGTATAGGTAACATACCTGGTATTAGTAACATACCCGGGGTCCCACCAGGTAGCGGAAGCAATATAATTAACATCCTTGGTATAAGTAACATACCTGGTATTAATAACATACCTGGTATTAGTAACATACCTGGGGTCCCACCAGGTAGGGGCAGCTCTCTCAAAGAGGACAAGACAGCAATATAATTAACATACCTGGTATAAGTAACATACTTGGTATTAGTAACACACCTGGTATTAGTAACATACCTCATATAAGTAACATACCTGGGATCCCACCAGGTAGGGGCAGCTCTCTCAAAGAGGACAGGACAGCAAGAGTTACGCTGGTGAGAGGCCAACATCAGAGCGTGCAGGTGAGGAGTGAGAGACAATCTGATAGCTTCCTCTTCCTCCATTATCTCCTTCTCATCCCTTCCTCTTCCTCCTTCTTGCCCTCCACCACCAGATACCATTCTTCTTATCTCTACTTATTCTTCACTGAAAAATTCTGAAGGAAGGTCAACCACGTATGTAGTTTCTGAAATAAAAATGAAACGCCGTAAACCAAGGTTTGAATTAAGTTTATGCAGGTATACCTGCTTAATACGGGTATACCTGGTTAATATAAGTAAAACTTGCTAATACAGGTATACCTTGCTAATATGGGAGAGAGATTATGAGATTAAAGTTGCAAAGGAATCGAAGACTAACCCATACAGAAGAAACATTAGGGACAAGATAGGCCCACTCATAAGTTATTCAGGTCAGCTCACTGACAGTGGTAAGGAAATGTGTAGAATTTTTAACACTTATTTCCTCTCAGTTTTACACAGGAAGATAGTAGTGATATTCCAGATATAATAAATTATGTAGAAGAGAAAGATAATAAACTATGCACGATTAGGGTCACAAGTGACATGGTCCTTAGACAAATAGATAAATTAAAACCTAACAAATCCCCGGGCCCTGATGAACTGTATGCAAGGGTTCTAAAAGAATGTAAAGAGGAGCTTAGCAAACCTTCGGCTAATCTTCTAAACATATCACTTCAAACTGGCATAGTGCCAGGTAAGTGGAAAATGGCAAATGTGATACCTATTGAACTATAGACCAATAAGCCTAACCTGTATAGTAGGAAAATTTATGGAATCAATAACTTCTGAGGCAATTTGTAGCCATCTTGAAAAAGCATAAATTGATCAATGAATCTCAGCATGGTTTTACAAAAGAGCATTCCTGCCTTACAAATTCATTAATTTTTTTCACTAAGGTATTTGAGGAGGTAGATCATGGTAATGAATACGATACTGTGTATATGGACTTCAGTAAGGCTTTTGATAGAGTCCCACATCAGAGACTATTGAGGAAAATTAAGGCACACAGAATAGGAGAAGAAATTTTTTCCTGGACAGAGGTGTGGTTGACAGATAGGCAGCAGAGTGTGCATAAATGGGGAGAAATCAGAGTAAGGAAGAGTCACAAGCAGTGTTCCACAAGGGTCAGTGCTGGGCCCCTTGTTGTTTACAATCTACATAAATGACATAGATGAGGGAACAAATAGCGACATAAGCAAGTTTGCCGATGACACCAACCTAGGCCATCGAATTCATTATGACGAGGACACCTGAGCACCCCAAGAAGATTTGAATAGACTGATGCAGTGGTTGGAGAAGTGGCAGATGCAGTTTAATATAGGCAAGTGCAAAGTTCTAAACATTGGACAGGAAAATAACCATGCCACATATAAACTAAATAAGGTAGATCTTAATATTACTGATTGCAAAAAGGATTTGGGAGTTCTGGTTAGCAGTAATCTAAAACGAAGACTACAGTGCATAAGTGTTTGCAATAAAGCAAACAGAATCCTTGGCTTCATATCAGAAGTATAAATAATAGGAGTCCTCAGGTTGTTCTTCAACTCTATACATCCATGGTTAGGCCTCATTTAGATTATGCTGCACAGTTTTGGTCACTGTATTACAGAATGGATATAAATGCACTGGAAAACATACAAAGGAGGATGATAAAGTTGATTCCATGCATCAGAAATCTTCCCTATGAGGATAGACTGAGGCCCTGAATCTGCACTCTCTAGAAAGGCATAGAATTAGGGAGGATATGATTGAGGTGTATAAATGGAAAACTGGAATAAATAAAGGGATGTAAATAGTGTTCTGAAAATATCTAGCCAAGACAGGACTCGCAGCAATAATAACAATAATAATATAATAGATTTTTATTTTAGCATGATACACATTTGTACACAGAAGTATAACAACTGGGTGAACATGCCAAAAGCCCCTTCATATGCAGAGCATTTCAGGCAAACTTAAGACTAACTTAAGATTAATAGGGCAATACATTGTTGTAATTTGTACATATGGTCATTAGGTGAGTTACAATGAACACAAGTAAACTGAATATTCTATTAGTTCAAGCTATATGACTTTCGTAAGTTAGGTAGAGAAGAATTAGCTTTGATATACAGTGGACCCTCGAGTTTCGGCAGCCTCGACTTTCATGAAATTCGACCTTCGGTGAGTTTTTTTTGGAAAAATTTGGCCTCGAGTTTCGTGAAAACACTCGTGTTTCGGCGACCGTCCGGTACCCGTCCGCCCGTCACCGCGCACACAAAGCCAGTCTCCCACGCCATTCTCGCTCAGTGTGCCATTGTTTACCAACACGTGACCATCACCCCACAGGTTCATACAATACATTTCATAATAATCCATTGTTTTTTGTGCTTGCAACTGCTAAATAAGTCATCATGGACCCAAGGAAAGCTAGTGCAAGCCCTTTGGCAAATAAAGTGAGTGACGGGGATGTGGAAGAGTTGGTGGAGGACCACAGGGAAGAGCTAACCACTGACGAACTGCAAGAGCTTCAACTGGAACAGCATCAGACCACAGCCGAGGAACTTGCTTCAGAGGAGGAGGAAGAGAGAGTGGATGAGGTGCCTTCTTCAGTGATTAAGGACATGTGTGGAATGAGCTGCAAAGTTTTGTTGAAAAGTATCACCCTAACCAAGCTGAAACAAGCCATATCTGCAACATGTACAATGACAGTGTTGTGTCCCACTTCAGGGAAATCTTAAAGAAATGCCAGAAAAAGACCTTTATGGATAGATATTTTGTGCGCCAGGGGTCCAGTGACTCAAGTTGTTCCCAGTGGCATTAAAAGAAGAAGGGAAGTAACCCCAGATAAGGACTTGCTACCTAAAGTCCTAATGGAAGGAGATTCTCCTTACAAACAAGAGTGTACACCTTCCTCCTATCACCTCCTCCCATCTTCCATCCACCCAGAAGTCTTCAGTAAAGGTAAGTGTAATGTTAAATTATTTATTTTAAATGCATGTACTTGATTTCTGATTGTTTTCATTATGTAAATCTTTATTTAATTTGAAAAAAAAAAAAAGATTTTATTTTAATATTTTTGGGTGTCTGGAACGGATTAGTTTTTTTATTATTTTATTAACACACTGGCCGATTCCCACCAAGGCAGGGTGGCCTGAAAAAGAAAAACTTTCACCATCATTCACTCCATCACTGTCTTGCCAGAAGGGTGCTTTACACTACAGTTTTTAAACTGCAACATTAACACCCCTCCTTCAGAGTGCAGGCACTGTACTTCCCATCTCCAGGACTCAAGTCCGGCCTGCCGGTTTCCCTGAACCCCTTCATAAATGTTACTTTGTTCACACTCCAACAGCACATCAAGTATTAAAAACCATTTGTCTCCATTCACTCCTATCAAACACGCTCACGCATGCCTGCTGGAAGTCCAAGCCCCTTGCACACAAAACCTCCTTTACCTCCTCCCTCCAACCTTTCCTAGGCCAACCCCTACCCCGCCTTCCTTCCACTACAGACTGATACACTCTTGAAGTCACTCTGTTTTGCTCCATTCTCTCTGCATGTCCGAACCACCTCAACAACCCTTCCTCAGCCCTCTGGACAACAGTTTTGGTAATCCCGCACCTCCTCCTAACTTCCAAACTACGAATTCTCTGCATTATATTCACACCACACATTGCTCTCAGACATGACATCTCCACTGCCTCCAGCCTTCTCCTCGCTGCAACATTCATCACCCATGCTTCACACCCATATAAGAGCGTTGGTAAAACTATACTCTCATACATTCCCCTCTTTGCCTCCAAGGACAAAGTTCTTTGTCTCCACAGATTAGTTTTATTTCCATTATTTCTTATGGTGAAAATGGTTTCGAGTTTCGTGAATTTCGACCTTCGGCGGGCTCTCTGGAAAGGATTAATCATGAAACTCGGGGTCCACTGTATATAATAATACAGTATTACAACTGAGCACAATTTAAACCAATGAAGTTGAAACAATTTTAAGTTTGAGGAAGTGATTATAAAGTTAGGCAATCATCCAGCATAATTTACAATAATGAAATATGTATTGCAATTTAGCACAATTTAAAGTAATGAAATTGAAACAATTTTAAATTTGAAGTAAATAATCAAATAGTTGAGCAATCATAAATTGTTTAGGAGTTTTTGAGTAATTGGTAGGTGTTAAGTAAAGTATAGTGTTTGTCTGGTTAATTTCAGGTGATGAGGTGATTTCTAAGTAGGGCCTTAAATTGATTTGCAGACAGGAGCCCTTTAGTGTGGTCTGGCAATGAATTCCAGATCTTCAAGCCCTTTATGGGCATAGCATTTTTGCATAGGGAGAGATGGACACGAGGGATATCAAAGAGAGAGATTTGTGCCTTGTGTTATGCCGTGTGTGTTCTGTTGTAGATATCTGGAAGGAGTTTGAGAGGAGGGTTAATGTTGGAGTATAATATTCTGTGTGTGTAGTAGGCACAATAATAAGTATGGATGCTTTGCATATTAACCCTTTGACTGTCGCGGCCGTATATATACGTCTTACGAGGTACCGTGTTTGACGTATATATACTCATAAATTCTAGCGGCTTCAAATCAAGCAGGAGAAAGCTGGTAGGCCCACATGTGAGAGAATGGGTCTGTGTGGTCAGTGTTTACCTGGAGTTTACCTGGAGAGAGTTCCGGGGGTCAACGCCCCCGCGGCCCGGTCTGAGACCAGGCCTCCTGGTCTCACTCCTGGAGCACACAGTGCATAATGAGAAAAAAAAAACTCTGACCGTTTTTTTTAATTAAAATGCCGACTTTGTGGTCTATTTTCGTATAGTATTTATGGTTGTATTCTCGTTTTCTTGGTCTCATTTTATAGAATGGAAAACATATTATAGATATAGAGGTGATTTTGATTGATTTTACTATAAAAAGAACCTAGAAATGGAGCTCAAAGTAGAGGAAATGTTTGATTTTTGCCAATGTTCAAAAGTAAACAAATGATGCCAATTTCCAATAAATGTCCAACTAGCCATTCTAATATGCAGTCATGAATGGGTTGATGTTATTTATACAATTATTACAGTATTGCAGTAGTCTGCATAATAGTAAGTCTTCAATTTTTTGTTTGAATAAAAATTCAAAATAGAAAGCAAGAGTAATATCAGAGGGGCCTGGAGACATGACTGATGAGCAAAGAAAATGTTATTTTAGAGCCAGGAATGTCTGCATTGTTCATTCTGGACCTTATTTTGAAATTGTCATATTTTTTAGTTTTCATGAAATTGGCCAAATTGCAAATTTCTGACCACATTATTAGGTAGTTGAAATCGGTAAATGGGCAGTTTCTTGTACTCAATCGATAGAAAAAATGGAGTTCTAAAGAAATAGCTATGAGTTTGGGCAACTGGAACAATGGAATTAGCCGAAAATGGGGCTCAAAGTGGGCGAAATCGCCGATTTGTAAACAGCGCCGAGGTCACTAACTTTGCGAGAGCATAATTCCGTCAGTTTTCCATCAAATTTCGTTTGTTTGGCGTCATTACAATCGGGAAAAGATTCTCTATCATTTCATAAGAAAAAATATTTTTTTTTTTTTTTTAAATTTTGCGACACCAGGAGACACCTCAGGATTGGGGGTTGCGACAGTCAAAGGGTTAAACAAGGCTCTTAAAAAGCGGTGGAGTGTACTGTCTAATGCAGGAGTTGGTAATTAATCGCAGAGCAGCTTTTTGCTGGGTTCTTAAAGGTTAAAGGTGATTTTCTGCAGTTTAGCCCCGAGCCCCAATGGTATTAAGTTGGAAAAATCCAGATTCAGGAACGATACAGGAAAGCACTGGTTTGGTAATAGAGTTGTGGGTGAGTGGAACAAACTCCCGAGTACCGTCACAAGAGGCTAAAACCTTATGTAGTTTTAAAAATAGATTAGATAAATACATGAGTGGGTGTGGGTGGGTGTGAGTTGGACCTGACTAGACTCATGAAATTGTAATGCTACGATTGCAAACAAGCCATACCACGGGCGGGGATAGAACCCGCGGGTTCTATCCCCGCCCGTGGTATGGTTTGGACCTGACTAGCTTGTGTTACTAGGTCTGAAGCCGTGCTCCTTCTTTAAGTGAATGTGACCTGACCTGACTAGGCTGGGTCATTGCCTTAAGCCGGTAAGAGACTTGGACCTGCCTTGCATGGGCCAGTAGGCCTGCTGCAGTGTTCCTTCTTTTTTTTATGTTCTTAAATATATATATATATATATATATATATATATATATATATATATATATATATATATATATATATATAATATATATAATATATATATATATATATATATATTAATGAAAACATATTCCTAGCAATGAGAGTATATACCTAGTAATGAGAGCATATACCTAATAATGAGAGCATATGCCTAGTAATGAAAGTATATACCTAAAATTGAGAGTACATATATACCTAGTAATGAGTATGATACAGAGTAATGGTAGTGTATATACCGAGTAAAGGGAGAGTATACACCAATAAGAATATACATAGTACACAGTGGTGGTAGTGTATATACCTAGTAATGAAAATATATATAGTACACATAAAGCAGTGGTAGTGTATATACTTAGTAAATGTAGTGTATATACCTAGTAATGACAGTATAGCACACAAAGCAGTGGTAGTGTATATACCAAGTAGTGTATACACTAGTAAAGGGAGTGTATATACCTTATAATGGGAATGTATATACCTAATAATGGGAGTGTACATACCAAGCAATGATATACCTTGATAAAAACCTTATATATCTTTGACAGCATATATACTACACATAAAGCAGTGGTAGTATATATACTACAAATAAAGCAGTGGTAGTATATATACCTAGTAATAACAGTATATATACTACACAAAGCAGTGGTAGTATATATACCTAGTAATAAGAGTATATATACTACACATAAAGCAGTGGTAGTATATATACCTAGTAATAACAGTATATATACTACACATAAAGCAGTGGTAGTATATATACCTAGTAATAACAGTATATATACTACACAAAGCAGTGGTAGTATATATACCTAGTAATAACAGTATATATACTACACATAAAGCAGTGGTAGTATATATACCTAGTAATAACAGTATATACACTACAAATAAAGCAGTGGTAGTATATATACCTAGTAATGACAGTATATATGCTACACATAAAGCAGTGGTAGTATATATACCTAGTAATGACAGTATATACACAACACATAAAGCAGTGGTAGTATATATATTACACATAAAGCAGTGGTAGTATATATAACTAGTAATAACAGTATATATACAACACACAAAGCAGTGGTAATATATATACCTAGTAATGACAGTATATACACTACACATAAAGCAGTGGTAGTATATATACCTAGTAATAAGAGTATATATACTACACATAAAGCAGTGGTAGTAAATACACCTAGTAATAAGAGTATATATACTACACATAAAGCAGTGGTAGTAAATACACCTAGTAATAAGAGTATATATACTACACATAAAGCAGTGGTAGTATATATACCTAGTAATAAGAGTATATATACTACACATAAAGCAGTGGTAGTATATATACCTAGTAATAAGAGTATATATAATACACATAAAGCAGTGGTAGTATATATACCTAGTAATAAGAGTATATATACTACACATAAAGCAGTGGTAGTATATATACCTAGTAATAAGAGTATATATACTACACATAAAGCAGTGGTAGTATATATACCTAGTAATAAGAGTATATATACTACACATAAAGCAGTGGTAGTATATATACCTAGTAATAAGAGTATATATACTACACATAAAGCAGTGGTAGTATATATACCTAGTAATAAGAGTATATATACTACACATAAAGCAGTGGTAGTATATATACCTAGTAATAAGAGTATATATACTACACATAAAGCAGTGGTAGTATATATACCTAGTAATAACAGTATATATACTACACATAAAGCAGTGGTAGTATATATACCTAGTAATGACAGTATATATACTACACATAAAGCAGTGGTAGTATATATACCTAGTAATAACAGTATATATACTACACATAAAGCAATGGTATTATATATACCTAGTAATGACAGTATATACACTACACATAATGCATTGGTAGTATATATACCTAGTAATAACAGTAAATATACTACACATAATGTATATACACTACACATAGAGCAGTGGTAGTATATATACCTAGTGATGACAGTATATATACTACACATAAAGCAATGGTAGTATATATACCTAGTGATGACAGTATATATACTACACATAAAGCAGTGGTAGTATATATACCTAGTAATAACAGTATATATACTACACATAAAGCAATGGTAGTATATATACCTAGTGATGACAGTATATATACTACACATAAAGCTGTGGTAGTGTATATACCTAATAATGACAGTATATATACTACACATAAAGCTGTGGTTGTGTATATACCTAATAATGACAGTATATATACTACACATAAAGCTGTGGTAGTGTATATACCTAGTAATAAGGGTACATATTATACACAGAGGTATATATATACCGAGTAATACTGGTATATATAGCGCACATAAAGCCGTGGAAGAGGAAGTAATGTTAAGAGATAAGGGAGAGAGAGAGTTAGGTATGTTATCTTAGGTACTAAGATAGTGTAGGTACTAGGTACCAGGGTGGGGGTACACGCCCCCATCACCCCCACCATACTCACCTCCCATAATGGTAGTAATGGTGGCTGTAATAATGTTAAATAAGGTCACTGAGAGGCACTGTCTACGGCAGCCATTTTCCACTCCTTGTTATAGACTCGTTTTTACCTCTGATGAAATACCTCTCTTACCTCACTCTTTATTAGCTTATTTTACCATGATTTATTCTATTTCTGGGGCCTTGTCGTGCCTCTACTTCAAGCTGTGTACATTTTCTTCCATCCACAGCCCGAAATAATTTAATATATTAGTTTTAGGGTAAGAAATGTGTTGAAATGTTGACTGGTTCTCACCTGTCTTAGCTAACCTAACATTATATATATATATATATATATATATATATATATTATATATTATATATATATAATATATATATATATAATTATATATATATATATATATATATATATATATATATATATATATAACATTGTCGTGCCTCTGCTTGAAGCTGTGTACTGTTTTGAAGGACAAGCATTAGTGAAGTACTAGCAGCAGTGAAGGACTAGCAGTAGTGAAGGACTAGCAACAGTGAAGGACTAGCAGCAGTGAAGGACTAGCAACAGTGAAGGACTAGCAGCAGTGAAGGACTAGCAGCAGTGAAGGACTAGCAACAGTGAAGGACTAGCAGCAGTGAAGGACTAGCAACAGTGAAGGACTAGCAGCAGTGAAGGACTAGCAGTAGTGAGGGACTAGCAGCAGTGAAGGACTAGCAGCAGTGAAGGACTAGCAACAGTGAAGGACTAGCAGCAGTGAAGGACTAGCAGCAGTGAAGGACTAGCAGCAGTGAAGGACTAGCAACAGTGAAGGACTAGCAGCAGTGAAGGACTAGCAGCAGTGAAGGACTAGCAGCAGTGAAGGACTAGCAACAGTGAAGGACTAGCAGCAGTGAAGGACTAGCAGCAGTGAAGGACTAGCAACAGTGAGGACTAGCAACATGAAGGACTAGCAACAGTGAAGGACTAGCAACAGTGAAGGACTAGCAATAGTGAAGGACTAGCAACAGTGAAGGACTAGCAATAGTGAAGGACTAGCAATAGTGAAGGACTAGCAACAGTGAAGGACTAGCAATAGTGAAGGACTAGCAACAGTGAAGGACTAGCAACAGTGAAGGACTAGCAACAGTGAAGGACTGGCAATAGTGAAGGACTAGCAACAGTGAAGCACTAGCAACAGTGAAGGACTAACAACAGTGAAGGACTAGCAACAGTGAAGGACTAGCAACAGTGAAGGACTAGCAATAGCGAAGGACTAGCAACAGTGAAGGACTAGCAACAGTGAAGGACTAGCAACAGTGAAGGACTAGCAACAGTGAAGGACTAGCAACAGTGAAATACTAGCAACAGTGAAGGACTAGCAACAGTGAAGGACTAGCAACAGTGAAGGACTAGCAACAGTGAAATACTAGCAACAGTGAAGGACTAGCAACAGTGAAGGACTAACAACAGCAAAGGGCTAGCAACAGTGAAGGACTAGTGACAGTGAAGGACTAGCAACACTGAAGGACTGGCAACAGTGAAGGACTAGCAACAGTGAAGTACTAGCAACAGTGAAGGACTAGCAACAGTGAAGGACTAGCAGCAGTGAAGGACTAGAAATAGTGAAGGACTAGCAACAGTGAAGGACTAGCAATAGTGAAGGACTAGCAACAGCGAAGGACTATCAACAGTGAAGGACTAGCAACAGTGAAGGACTAGCAATAGTGAAGGACTAGCAACAGTGAAGGACTAGCAACAGTGAAGGACTAGCAGCAGTGAAGAACTAGCAACAATGAAGGACTAGCAGCAGTGAAGGACTAGAAACAATGAAAGACTAGCAACAGTGAAGAACTAGCAACAGCGAAGGACTAGCAATAGTGAAGGACTAGCAACAGTGAAGAACTATCAGCAGTGAAGGACTAGCAACAGTGAAGAACTAGCAGCAGTGAAGAACTAGCAGCAGTGAAGGACTAGCAACAGTGAAGGACTAGCAACAATGAAGGACTAGCAGCAAAGTTTATTCTCTATAAAGATTGCAATGTTGAATTTACAGAATTTGGTTATTGTGTGGTTTACATGTAGTTAAATAATGATTACAGAGTGTACCACTAGAATGCCAAGCATGGCTAGGCATTTCGGGCAGACTTAGTTTAATTCTTTATTTTAAAATATTACAAATTATGAGGTAAGTTGGTATTATGGCTAAGTGACTAAATACTAGTTTGTGAGTTTAGCAATGTGAATGCTTTTGTTTTGGCACAGTACATAGTTTCAGTATTGGAGTATCATAGGATTCATTATTTTAAGATTGAGATTAATATTTCTGTTTATGGTCAAATGGGTGAGTGAGTGTAAGTGTGAACCACAAGGTGGTATTCGTGTAGTTAGTTGACGGGGTGTATCAGGGAGATAAGATGTTTTCTAATGGTAGTTTTGAAGGTGATGAATGTGTCTGCAGTTCTAGAGTTCTCACGTAGGGTGTTCCAGATTTTAGGGCCTTTGACATACATTGAATTTTTGTGAAGGTTTAGTCGGACACGGGGAATGTCGTAGAGATGTTTGTGTCTGGTGTTGTGCCTGGTGGTTCTGTCACAACTATCAAGAAAGCGTTTTAGGTCAAGGTTAATATTGGAATTTAAGGTCCTGTAGATGTAGATTGCACAGTAGTAAGTGTGGATGTACTGAACAGGGAGTAAGTTTAGATCTATGAAGAGTGGTGGGGGTGTTGCCAGGGATGGGATTTAGTGATTATTCTTACTACAGCTTTTTGTTGGGTTATTATTGGCTTTAGGTGTGTTGCAGCAGTTGATCCCCAAGCACAAATAGCATAAGTGAGGTATGGATAAATAAGTGAGTGGTATAGTAGTGGTATAGCAGTGAAGAACTAGCAGCAGTGAAGAACTAGCAGCAGTGAAAGACTAGCAACAGTGAAGGACTAGCAAGAGTGAAGGACTAGCAACAGTGAAGGACTAGCAAGAGTGAAGGACTAGCAAGAGTGAAGGACTAGCAACAGTGAAGGACTAGCAAAAGTGAAGGACTAGCAGCAGTGAAGAACTAGCAGCAGTGAAGGACCAGCAAGAGTGAAGGACTAGCAACAGTGAAGGACTAGAAGCAGTGAAAGACTAGCAGCAGTGAAGAACTAGCAGCAGTGAAAGACTAGCAGTGTGAAGTAGCAGCAGTTAAAAACTAGCAGCAGTGAAGAACTAACTGCAGTGAACTAGCAGCAGTGAAGAACTAGCAACAGTGAAGAACTAGCAGCAGTGAAGAACTGCAGTGAACTAGCAGCAGTGAAGAACTAGCAGCAGTAAACTAGCAGCAGTGAAGAACTAGCAACAGTGAAGAACCAGCAGCCGTGAAGAACTAACAGTAGTGAAGAACTAGCAGCAGTGAAGAACAGCAGTGAAGAACTAGCAGCAGTGAAGAACTAACAGCAGTGAAGAAATAACAGCAGTGAAGAACTAACAGCAGTGAAGAACTAGCAGCAGTGAAGAACTAGTGCAGTGAAGAACTAGCAGCAGTGAAGAACTAGTGCAGTGAAGAACTAGCAGCAGTGAAGAACTAGCAGCACTGAAGAACTAGTGCAGTGAAGAACTAGTGCAGTGAAGAACTAACAGCAGTGAAGAACTAGCAACAGTGAAGAACTAGAACAGTGAAGAACTAGTAGCAGTGAAGAACTAGCAGCAGTGAAGAACTAACAGCAGTGAAGAACTAACAGCAGTGAAGAACTAACAGCTAGTGACTAGCTGGCCCAGCAGCTAGTAGTTAAGCTTACACTTCAACAGTCAACAGCTGGACCAGCTAGTCACTAGCTGGACCAGCAGCTAGTAATACCTACATTACATCAGTCAGCAGCTGGACCAGCTAGTCACTAGCTGGACCAGCAGCTAGTAGTTAAGCTTACACTTCAACAGTCAGCAGCTGGACCAGCTAGTCACTAGCTGGACCAGCTGGTCCAGCAGCTAGTAGTTGAGCTTACACTTCAACAGTCAGCAGCTGGACCAGCTAGTCACTAGCTGGACCAGCTGGTCCAGCAGCTAGTAGTTGAGCTTACACTTCAACAGTCAGCAGCTGGACCAGCTGGTCACTAGCTGGACCAGCAGCTAGTAGTTGAGCCTAAACTTCAACAGTCAGCAGCTGGACCAGCTAGTCACTAGCTGAACCAGCTGGTCCAGCAGCTAGTAGTTAAGCTTACACTTCAACAGTCAGCAGCTGGACCAGCTAGTAACTAGCTGGTCCAGCAGCTAGTAGTTAAGCTTACACTTTAACAGTCAGCAGCTGGACCAGCTAGTCACTAGCTGGTCCAGCAGCTAGTAGTTGAGCTTACACTTCAACAGTCAGCAGCTGGACCAGCTAGTCACTAGCTGGTCCAGCAGCTAGTAGTTAAGCTTACACTTTAACAGCAGCTGGACCAGCTAGTCACTAGCTGGTCCAGCTGCTAGTAGTTAAACTTACACTTCAACAGTCAGCAGCTGGACCAGCTAGTCACTAGCTGGTCCAGCTGCTAGTAGTTAAGCTTACACTTCAACAGTCAGCAGCTGGACCAGCTAGTCACTAGCTGGACCAGCTGGTCCAGCAGCTAGTAGTTGAGCCTACACCTCAACAGTCACCAGCTGGACCAGCTGGTCCAGCTGCTAGTAGTTAAGCTTACACTTCAACAGTCAGCAGCTGGACCAGCTAGTCACTAGCTGGACCAGCTGGTCCAGCTCCTAGTAGTTGAGCTTACACTTCAACAGGCAGCAGCTGGTCCAGCTAGTCACTAGCTGGACCAGCTGCTAGTAGTTGAGCTTACACTTCAACAGTCAGCAGCTGGACCAGCTAGTCACTAGCTGGACCAGCTGGTCCAGCAGCTAGTAGTTGAGCTTACACTTCAACAGTCAGCAGCTGGACCAGCTAGTCACTAGCTGGACCAGCTGGTCCAGCAGCTAGTAGTTGAGCTTACACTTCAACAGTGCAGTACAGTCTTGGACCAGCTAAGTACTCACTACAGCGGTCCAGCTGCTAGGATGAGTTTAAGCTTACACTTCAACAGTCAGCAGCTGGACCAGCTAGTCACTAGCTGGACCAGCTGGTCCAGCAGCTAGTAGTTGAACCTACACCTCAACAGTCAGCAGCTGGACCAACTAGTCACTAGCTGGACCAGCAGCCAGTAGTTGAACCTACACCTCAACAGTCACCAGCTGGACCAGCTAGTCACTAGCTGGACCAGCAGCTAGTAGTTGAACCTACACCTCAACAGTCAGCAGCTGGACCAGCTAGTCACTAGCTGGTCCAGCTGCTAGTAGTTGAGCTTACACTTCAACAGTCAGCAGCTGGACCAGCTAGTCACCAGCTGCTAGTAGTTGAGCTTACACTTCAACAGTCAGCAGCTGGACCAGCTAGTCACTAGCTGGTCCAGCAGCTAGTAGTTGAGCGTACACTTCAACAGTCAGCAGCTGGACCAGCTAGTCACTAGCTGGTCCAGCTGGTCCAGCAGCTAGTAGTTGAGCTTACACCTCAACAGTCACTTGTTTTCCCAGTGTTTACAAACATTCCTCTCTGGTATTGTCTCTCTGACTCTCACCTGCTCGTTTATCTTCGTTTTTGCCATGTTTCGCTCACTGCCACGAGCGAAACATCACACAGGAGAGTGTATTAAGCCTCCAGGAACCTCGTAACTCCTGTACTTCACCTTAATAACACTTATTATTATTACTTCACTCCAACAAGTGCTACACAACACTTAATTTTGTTAACAAATTTAACATTATTATTTTGGATATTTTATATAGAGGATGTTAAGTATTAATGTTAACATCTGTGTTAATACTGTGAATCTTATATATAGAGGATGTTAAGTATTAATGTTAACATCTGTGTTAATACTGTGAATCTTATATATAGAGGATGTTAAATGTTATTATTGTGAATGTGATGTATACAGGATGTTAAAATATTAACTTATATGAAGTATTTACAAGTGAGGTACAGTAAATGTTGTAGTAAAACAAGCTTAAGCTTAAGGGAACAGCTTAAGCTTAAGAGAACACCTTAAGCTTAAGGGAGCAGCTTAAGCTTAAGGGAACAGCTTAAGCTTAAGAGAACAGCTTAAGCTTACGAGAAAAGCTTAAGCTTAAGAGAACAGCTTAAGCTTAAGGGAACAGCTTAAGCTTAAGGGAACAGCTTAAGCTTAAGAGAACAGCTTAAGCTTGCGAGAACAGCTTCAGCTTAAGAGAACAGCTTAAGCTTAATAGAACAGCTTAAGCTTAAGGGAACAGCTTAAGAGAACAGCTTAAGCTTAAGGGGATAGCTTAAGCTTAAGGAAACAGCTTAAGCTTAAGAGAACAGCTTAAGCTTACGAGAACAGCTTAAGCTTAAGGGAACAGCTTAAGCTTAAGGAAACAGCTTAAGCTTAAGAGAACTGCTTAAGCTTACGAGAACAGCTTCAGCTTAAGAGAACAGCTTAAGCTTAAGAGAACAGCTTCAGCTTAAGAGAACAGCTTCAGCTTTAAGAGAATGCTTAAGCTTTAAGGGAACAGCTTAAGCTTTAAGAGAACAGCTTAAGCTTTCAGAGAATGCTTAAGCTTTAAGGGAACAGCTTAAGTTTTAAGGGAACAGCTTAAGCTTTCAGAGAGCAGCTTGAAAGCTTTAAGAGAACAACTTAAGCTTTAACTTAATAACTTGAAAACTTTAGGAAAACAGCTTAAGCATTAAAATAACAGATTTAGCTTTAAGATAACAGCTTAAGTTTTAAGAAAGCATCTTAAGCTTTAAGATAACAGCTTAAGTTTTAAGAAAACATCTTAAGCTTTAAGATAACAGCTTAAGCTTCAAGAGAAAAGCTTAAGCTTAAAGAGAACAACTTGAAACCTTTAAGAGAACATAGCTGGAGAGGGTTTCATGGTGGATCAGAGCCTGATCAACCAGACTGTTACTGCTGGCCACACACAACATGACATACGAACCACAGCCCGGCTGGTCAGGTACTGGATTTAGGTGCCTGTCCAGCACCTTCTTGAAGACAGTCAGGGGTCTTGAAGACAGTCAGGGGTCTTGAAGACAGCCAGGGGTCTTGAAGATAACCAGGGGTCTTGAAGACAGTCAGGGGTCTTGAAGACAGCCAGGGGTCTTGAAGACAGCCAGGGGTCTTGAAGACAGTCAGGGGTCTTGAAGACAGCCAGGGGTCTTGAAGACAGCCAGGGGTCTTGAAGATAACCAGGGGTCTTGAAGACAGCCAGGGGTCTTGAAGACATCCAGGGGTCTTGAAGACAGCCAGGGGTCTTGAAGACATCCAGGGGTCTTGAAGACAGTCAGGGGTCTTGAAGACAGTCAGGGGTCTTGAAGATAACCAGGGGTCTTGAAGACAGTCAGGGGTCTTGAAGACATCCAGGGGTCTTGAAGACAGTCAGGGGTCTTGAAGACATCCAGGGGTCTTGAAGACAGCCAGGGGTCTTGAAGACAGCCAGGGGTCTTGAAGACAACCAGTGGTCTTGAAGACATCCAAGGGTCTTGAAGACAACCAGGGGTCTTGAAGATAACCAGGGGTCTTGAAGACAGTCAGGGGTCTTGAAGACAGCCAGGGGTCTTGAAGACAACCTGGGGTCTTGAAGACAGTCAGGGGTCTTGAAGACAGCCAGGGGTCTTGAAGACAGCCAGTGGTCTTGAAGACATCCAGGGGTCTTGAAGACAGCCAGGGGTCTTGAAGATAGCCAGGGGTCTTGAAGACAGCCAAGGGTCTTGAAGACATCCAGGGGTCTTGAAGACAGCCAGGGATCTTGAAGACAACCAGGGGTCTTGAAGACAGCCAGGGGTTTTGAAGACAGCCAGGGGTCTTGAAGACAGCCAGGGGTCTTGAAGATAACCAGGGGTCTTGAAGACAGTCAGGGGTCTTGAAGACAGCCAGGGGTCATGAAGACAGCTAGGGGTCTTGAAGACAGTCAGGGGTCTTGAAGACAGCCAGTGGTCTTGAAGACATCCAGGGGTCTTGAAGACAGCCAAGGGTCTTGAAGACAACCAGGGGTCTTGAAGACAGCCAGGGGTCTTGAAGACAGCCAAGGGTCTTGAAGACAGCCAGGGGTCTTGAAGACATCCAGGGGTCCTGAAGACAGCCAGTGGTCTTGAAGACATCCAGGGGTCTTGAAGACAGCCAGGGGTCTTGAAGACATCCAGGGGTCTTGAAGACAGCCAGGGGTCTTGAAGACATCCAGGGGTCTTGAAGACAGTCAGGGGTCTTGAAGACAGTCAGGGGTCTTGAAGATAACCAGGGGTCTTGAAGACAGTCAGGGGTCTTGAAGACATCCAGGGGTCTTGAAGACAGCCAGGGGTCTTGAAGACAGTCAGGGGTCTTGAAGACAGCCAGGGGTCTTGAAGACAACCTGGGGTCTTGAAGACAGTCAGGGGTCTTGAAGACAGCCAGTGGTCATGAAGACAGCTAGGGGTCTTGAAGACAGTCAGGGGTCTTGAAGACAGCCAGTGGTCTTGAAGACATCCAGGGGTCTTGAAGACAGCCAAGGGTCTTGAAGACAACCAGGGGTCTTGAAGACAGCCAGGGGTCTTGAAGACAGCCAAGGGTCTTGAAGACAACCAGGGGTCTTGAAGACAGCCAGGGGTCTTGAAGACAGCCAGGGGTCTTGAAGACAGCCAGGGGTCTTGAAGATAACCAGGGGTCTTGAAGACAGTCAGGGGTCTTGAAGACAGCCAGGGGTCTTGAAGACAACCTGGGGTCTTGAAGACAGTCAGGGGTCTTGAAGACAGTCAGGGGTCTTGAAGACAGTCAGGGGTCTTGAAGACAGTCAGGGGTCTTGAAGACAGCCAGGGGTCTTGAAGACAGTCAGGGGTCTTGAAGACAGCCAGGGGTCTTGAAGACAACCAGGGGTCTTGAAGACAGCCAGGGGTCTTGAAGACAGTCAGGGGTCTTGAAGACAGCCAGGGATCTTGAAGACAGCCAGAGGTCTTGAAGACAGCCAGGGGTCTTGAAGACAGTTGGGGGTCTTGAAAACAGTCAGGGGTCTTGAAGACAGCCAGGGGTCTTGAAGACAGCCAGGGGTCTTGAAGATAACCAGGGGTCTTGAAGACAGTCAGGGGTCTTGAAGACAGCCAGGGGTCATGAAGACAGCTAGGGGTCTTGAAGACAGCCAGTGGTCTTGAAGACATCCAGGGGTCTTGAAGACAGCCAAGGGTCTTGAAGACAACCAGGGGTCTTGAAGACAGCCAGGGGTCTTGAAGACAGCCAAGGGTCTTGAAGACAGCCAGGGGTCTTGAAGACATCCAGGGGTCCTGAAGACAGCCAGTGGTCTTGAAGACATCCAGGGGTCTTGAAGACAGCCAGGGGTCTTGAAGACAGCCAAGGGTCTTGAAGACAACCAGGGGTCTTGAAGACAGCCAGGGGTCTTGAAGACAGCCAGGGGTCTTGAAGACAGCCAGGGGTCTTGAAGATAACCAGGGGTCTTGAAGACAGTCAGGGGTCTTGAAGACAGCCAGGGGTCTTGAAGACAACCTGGGGTCTTGAAGACAGTCAGGGGTCTTGAAGACAGTCAGGGGTCTTGAAGACAGCCAGGGGTCTTGAAGACAGTCAGGGGTCTTGAAGACAGCCAGGGGTCTTGAAGACAACCAGGGGTCTTGAAGACAGCCAGGGGTCTTGAAGACAGTCAGGGGTCTTGAAGACTGTCAGGGGTCTTGAAGACAGCCAGGGATCTTGAAGACAGCCAGAGGTCTTGAAGACAGCCAGGGGTCTTGAAGACAGTTGGGGGTCTTGAAAACAGTCAGGGGTCTTGAAGACAGCCAGGGGTCTTGAAGACAGCCAGGGATCTTGAAGACTGTCAGGGGTCTTGAAGACAGCCAGGGATCTTGAAGACAGCCAGAGGTCTTGAAGACAGCCAGGGGTCTTGAAGACAGTTGGGGGTCTTGAAAACAGTCAGGGGTCTTGAAGACAGCCAGGGGTCTTGAAGACAGCCAGGGATCTTGAAGACAGCCAGAGGTCTTGAAGACAGCCAGGGGCCTATTGGTAATCCCCCTTATGTATGCTGGGAGGCAGTTGAACAGTCTTGGGCCCACTTAGTGTTGTCTCTTAGTGTACTCATGGCACCTGTGCTTTCCAGTGGGAGGATGTTGCATCTCCTGCTTTTGTAGGGAGTGATTTTCATGTCCAAATTTGTGACTAGTTCCTCTAGGATTTTCCAAGTATATACTATCATGTATCTTTCTCGCCTGCCTTCCAGGGAGTACAAATCAAGGGACTTCAACCATTCCCAATAATTTAGGTGGTTTATTGACCCTCTGGGTTATTAACCCTCCAGGTTAATAATCCCATAAAAATGTCAGTCTTTCTCCACAAACTTCAACATATCATGTGAGGAGATAAATTACCTAGTAAAAAAATATCTTGTAATACAGCAACTTAAGCTGCACATTGTCCTAACATTACTCTGGATAAAATTAGTTTTTAGCACACTTTTGCTTTTAATTTATACAAATATTGTGTTGATGATAGAGGTGTACAGCAGTCATGAAACAAAACATTAAAATCTGATTTATTTGCATTACAGGAGAACAAATTTCCAGCTCTTCAGCTGACACAGATATTGTTTCTTATGGCATCTTAAAACTACCAAGACCACACAGCTCATGTTTATAACATAATTATATATGGAATATGGCTTCTGATAAGGTAATGTATATATTATACTTGGTGAATTATCTTAACTCTCACAGCACTGAAATTTTAAAGTACCGTGGTACCTCGGGATACGAATTTATATTGTTCCAGAAGACTGAGTACCGCTACCGAATGAATTTGTTCCCATAAGGAATAATGTAAATTAGATTAATCTGTTTCAGACCCCCAAAAATACACTTACAAAAGCACTTATATAAATACACTTACATAATTGTTTAAGTTTTGAGGTGTTCGTAACCCGAGGTACCACTGTGTTAAAAAAAGCTGCTCCATATGATATAAGAACATAAGAAAGGAGGATCACTGCAGCAGGCCTGTTGGCCCATACTAGGCAGGTCCTTTACAATCCATCCCACTAACAAAACAATTGCCCAACCTAATTTTCAATGCTACCCAAGAAATAAGGTCTGATAACTCTATCCACTCATTTGCAAGTCCCACTCAACTCCAATCCCTCTCACTCATATATTTATCCAGCCTAAATTTGAAACTACCCAAAGTCCTAGCCTCAATAACCCAACTAGGTAGACTGTTCTACTCATCAACTACCCTATTTCCAAACCAATACTTTCCTATGTCCTTTCTAAATCTAAACTTGTCTAATTTAAATCCATTACTGCGGGTTCTCTCTTGGAGAGATATCCTCAAGACCTTATTAACCCTTTGACTCTCACAGGCCCCTTTCTGAAACTGTCATTCTATATCGATAAATTTTTGGAAAAAAAAATTAATTATTTTTTCTTTTGAAATGATGGAGAATCTTTTCCCGATGGTAATGACACCAAAAGTACAAAATTTGGTTGAAAACTCACGGAATTACGCTCCCACAATGTTAGTCTCGGCAACATATACGCATCGGCAATTTCGCCGACTTTGAGCCCTGTTTTTGGCCAATTCCGTTCTTCCAGTTGATCAAACCCATAGCTATTTCTTTAGAACTCCATTTTTTTCTATCTGTTGAGTACAAGAAACCGCCCGTTTACCGATTTGAACTACCCAATAAAGTCAGAAATTGGCAATTTGGCCAATTTCACGCAAATTAAAAAAGATGCCAATTTCAAAATAGGGTCCAGAATAAATAATGTAGACATTCTTGGCACTGAAATAACATATCCTCTGTTCATTAGTCATATTTCTAGGCCCCTCTTATGTTATTATTGCTTTCTATTTTGATTTTTTATTCATACAAAAAAATACAAAATTTACTGTTATGCAGACTACTGCATTATTGTAAAAATGGTATAAATAATATCAGTGCACTAGTGAAAGAATATTAGACTCCCCAGTTGACGTGTATTGGACGTGTGGTGTGATTTGTTTACTCCTGAACATTGGTAAAAATCAAACATTTCCGCTACTTTGAGCTCAATTTCAAGGTCGTTTTTATTTCTGTAATATGTTTAACATTTTATCACGTGAGACCAGAAAAACGAGAATACAACGATAAATGCTATACGAAAATACACCTCAAAGTCGGCGTTTTAATCCAAAAAAACGGTCAGCTTTTTTTTTCTCATTACACACTGTGTGCTGCAGGATTTTTTTTTATGTGGTGCACACTGACCACACAGACCCATTCTCTCACATGTGGGCCTACCAGCTTTCTCCTGCTTGATTTGAAGCCACTAGAATTTACGCGTATAAATACATCAGAAACAGTGGTGCGTAAGATGTATATATACGACTGAAACAGTCAAAGGGTTAATATCCCCTTTATTAATACTCATCTTCCACTTATACACTTCTATCATGTCTCCCCTCATTCTTCGTCTAACAAGTGAATGTAATTTAACCTGTAAACAGTCCAAACTTTATATACGTTTTTTCAACAGTTGAAAGTATGTAAAAAAAGTAGATCTTCTTTTTTTCTTTTTACATTTGAAAACGTGTAAAAAACCTTTGATCTACTTTTTTTTTTGTTATATTTAAAAAATTTTAAAAAAAATGTGACTATTTTGGAGCACTAACATGGAACGTAGATTGCTTGGAGTTTACGGGTTAAGAGAAAAGTGATTGTAATTTAAGAAACAATGAATGAATTTAAGAACAATGAATGTAATTTAAAAAAAAATAAATGTAATTTAGAAAAAGTAAATTAATTTAAGAACAAGTGAATGTAATTTAAAAAAACAAGTAAAATGAATTTAAGAACAAGTGAATGAAATTTTAAAAACAAGTAAAATGTAATTTCCCTTTGGGGTTTTCGTCGTTAGTAGTTTACGCGTGGGGGTTTTTTTGCGTACTAGTACTCAAAAATTTAGGGCCTCAATTAGTGGAGAAAGCTGGTGGGGCCTTATATAAAGAATGGGTCTATGTGGTCAGTGGCACAGTCTAAAAAAATCCTGCAGCACCAGGGGCATAATGAAAATAAAAATTTGACCCTTTTTTTTTTAAAAAATCAGCGACTTTTGCAGTTATTTTGTATGGATTTATTTTTGTATTCTAGTTTTCTTGGGCTCATTTTAGGAATGGAAGACATTTTACGAAATTGAGATGATTTTGCTGGTTTAAAAGAAAGGGGCCTTGAAATTTTGGGTAAAGTACAGAAATTTTTGGGTTTTTACCAAACTTCAAAGTAAACAAAACGTTTCCAAACGTGCAATACGAATGGTTTGGGCTAATATTCTTTTTACAAGTGCACCAATATATTTATACCATTTTTTTCCAAAAGCATAGTCTGCATAACAGTAAATCTTACATTTTTTGTGAAAAAAAAATTTAAAGTGGAAAACAAAAGAATATAAGAGGGGCCCTTTAGACATGACTAATGACTAAGGAAAAAAGTCATTTTAGTCCAGGAATGTCTTTTTTTTGTTTATTCTGGCCCTTATTCGAATTTGGACTTTTGAAATTGTGTGAAATTGGCAAAATTGCTAAATTCTGACCACTGTACTGGATAGTTGAATTTCATAAATGAGTGGTTTCTTGCACCCATTTGATAGAAAAAATGGAGTTCTAGCGAAATATTCATGTTTTTTGTCGACTAGTACAGTGAAATTGGCCGAAAATGGGGCTCAAAGTGGGCAAAATCGCCGATGCGTAAACATCGCCGAGACCGCTAACTTTGCGAGAGCATAATTCCGTAAGTTTTCTATCAAATTTCAAACTTTTGGTGTCTTTATGATCGGGAAAAGATTCTCTATCTTTTCATAAGAGAAAATAATTTTTTTTTTTTAAATTTGGCCGACCCTGAGAACGAGTTTCGGAGAGGGCCTGTCGACCCTCAAAGGGTTAAGAAACAAGTGAATGTAGTATGTGAGCATTAATATTAGTCTGTCAGAAATGCTCAGCTTTTCTGTGCTTAACAATATTATTACATGTAAACTGTGTTTGATATACTGTCGATAAGAAATAAAATTGTATATACATACACTTGAAAGAATAGATCTCCTCCCTTTCTTGGATCAAATTTGATTGTTTTCTATTCCGCAAAGTGCTGTGACTCGCTACAGATTTAGTGCTCCTTTCCAATGGAATAAATAAGTTGCTGAATATATAAAAAAATACCTGTTGAGGAACATGTTATCTTGGTTTATCACTAAGGTCACAAGTTGGCACACACATCACAAAGCAGTGTTAAACCAATGTTGTGTGACCCACAGAGTTTTTACCACCACCTTTTAAATACAGATAGTCATTGGCTTACGACTGGCCGATCATAATTCGAATTGGTTCTAAGTTGGATAGGTATTGTAATTATGTACTTTATAATCTTTATATCAATTCTTTTGATATAAAGAATCACTATCATACGGCCTTATTTGTGCTTCCAGGCTTACAAATATTCATGGTCATAGGGGCAGAGGGTCATAAGTCAGCAACTATCTGCATAATAATAATAATAATAATTTCATGCTTATGCTCTTTGATTGTGATACTGTTTTGCTCATTTTGTCATTTTATGTGCAAGGGGCTTAGAAAAGCATGTGTGAGCATGTTAGGAGTGAGTGGAGGCAAATGGTTTTTAAGACTTGATGTGCTGTTGGAGTGTGAGCAAAGCAACATTTATGAAGGGATTCAGAAAAACTGGTTAGCTGGACTCAGGTCCTGGAGGTGGGAAGTACAGTGCCTGCACTCTGAAGGAGGGCTATTGATATGTTGCAGTTTATTAACTGTAGTGTAGGCACACCTCTGGCAAGACAGTGATGGAGTAAGTGATGATGAAAGTGTTTTTTTTTTTTTTGGGGTCACCCTACCTTGGTGGAAGAGAGCCGATGTGTTAATAAAAAAATTAAAGTTTTGTTTTTTAAGTTAGGTTAGATAACTACATCATCATCTGCCACCAGACAGTGATAGTTTCAGTATTATGTAAACATTAAGAACAGTATTATGTATGCATTAAGCACAGTGTTATGTATACACTAAGCATAGTCTTGTGTAAACATTGAGCACAGTATGATCATTTTCATCTCTGTGATTAAAATTCACTCAAATGATTATGCAGATTTAATGTTTTTTTTAATGTAGCAGCAATAATATTAATAAAGTGGAGGAGAATTGTTCCTGTGTCAGCCATACGTGTGGTAAGAGGTGACTTAAATGCCAGAAGCAAAGGGACTAGTAATCCCTTCTGTATAAATTACTAAATGTAAACGGATAAAGATTTTATTTCTTTGCATTGTTTACAATGTGTGATTACAATTTTGATTTGTTAAGGTACAAAGAAAGCCACTATCATGCCAGGGCATTTTGGGCAGACTAAACCTAATGTTTATAGAAGTGTTTCCTCCTTTTCAGGTCACCCTGTCTCAGTGGGAGAAGCCTCGTTTGTTAAAAAAAATACAGTAAACTCATAATTTAACAAACCTTGGAGATAGAGGACAAAATCTGCTGGTCACTTGATTCAGAAACAATGGGCAAAGTCCAATGTTAAAGAATTGTCTGTTTTTGTTAGGGTCACAAATCAGTCTCTTCTCTCCCCATTGTCTTCCATTCCCTATGTGCTGTATGACCACTACAAGTTTAGTGCTTCCTCCTAAACTTAATAATAATCCTTTAATCAGTTATCCTGACTTGAGTCCTGGAAGTGAGAAGTACCTCAATGGGAGATGGCCGGTTTGTCGAAAAAAAAATAGTCCTCTTTCTGCATCATAATCACCATTACTAGCCACCCTCTTGCCCTAGTTAGTGTTGTCTTAATTGCTCAGTTAACATCATTGTTGGTTTCCACAGCGTGTGTTCAGTTTAGAAAGTCCTCACGGTCCTGGTGGTGTGTTTTTCACCTGGCAGAAAGCATCTGGAGGGTTTTTAGCTTCCACCGGGTACAACCAGGTGGTCAATATCTACGATCGTCATGGCAATCTTCGTGAACAGATACACTTGCCAGGGTGAGTTTCTCAACATCTAAAAGGTGTTTTTAAAATGCTTTTCATGTTGTATTTTATGAAGTGTAGGTGACACAGTCATTTAGAAAATAAAAATTTCCTGATATAAATTATTTTTTCTTATATATTCTGTCTGGAATATATAAGAACAAAATAGAATGACTTTGAGAGTGTATAAATCTGTAGTGGAGGGAAGGCGGGATACAGGTCGGCCTAGGAAAGGTTGGAAAGAGGGGGTAAAGGAGGTTTTGTGTGTGAGGGGTTTGGACTTCCAGCAAGCATGAGTGAGCGTGTTAGATAGGAGGAAATGGAGACAAATGGTTTTTAGGACTTGACGTGCTGTTGGAGTGTGAGCAGGGTAATATTTATGAAGGGATTCAGGGAAACTGGAAAGCTGGACCTTAGTCCTGGAGATGGGAAGTACAGTGTCTGCACTCTGAAGGAGGGGTGTTAATCTTGCAGTTTTATAACTGTAGTGTAAGCTCACTTCTGGCAAGACAGTGATGGAGTGAATGATGGTGAAAGTTTTTCTTTTTCGGCCACCCTACCTTGGTGGAAAATGGCCGATGTGTTAATATTAATAAAAATAAATATTCTGTCTGTAATACACTAACACTGTATGGTTTGTGAGATAAAAATACGCTATACTCTAGTCTCTACATCATTTTATTAATTTTTGTTAGCATTTCCATAAATAATAGAAAGGAAAATTTTGTTGTCTTTGTTACAGTCACCATGTAACTAAATCTTTACTGCAGAGGAAAATATTGTATCATGTTAAGTATGGTAATTTAATAAAAAAATGCTGTACTTAAGTAGCTGAAGCAAAGGATAACATATGCCGTATATTAAATATTAACATTTTTAACAGAAACACATGATACAGATGAGATTATGATTATTATTATTATTATTTATGCAGGTTTCATAGATCAATGTTAACCTTGCGGAGTCCTTTATGTGGTAATTAAGACACTTGTGCAACCTTTGGGTATCTTTATTCTGGGAACATTTTGCCATCCAGTGACTTCTTCTGTCCAGTGCACAGAGAAAGGTGAAAGATCAGGAGTTTGAGGTAATCAGTCCCTCAGCCTGGAGTCAATGTGTTCAGTCCGTCAATCTTGATAAAAATGCAGCATGTTCGTAGAGATGGGGGCTTATATACTGGTGACAGATGAGGTGGAGCAGTGGAAGGTGGAGTCACTAGTGGAAAGACCCACTAGTGTGTCTTACACTGCCTGCAGGATAAAATGTAACCAGAGTCAGTTGAAAAAAGATAAAGGTAGCTCTAGTTCCTTGGACCAAGAGCCTTCACCAGTATGAAGGCAGCTTTTTGAAGGGAAGATGGGGTGATATTACAAATTTTAACTAATGTAAAGGGAACAAAGAGAACAAACAGTGAAGGTACTTGTGATAACTAGGAGAGCTGGCAGATGACCTGATGACTGCTCAAACACATTATTGTTTCTACAATTTAGATAAAGATTTATTTCAGCATGATATAATGTTTGTACAGTGATGAGTGACAGTTGTGCTTGCAGAAAGCCCATACTGCCTCTCCTCACATAACGACAGAGTTCTGTTCCTAAGACCACGTCGTTAAACGAATTCGTCGCTAAGTGAGGAACATACTGCAGTGGTAGTGGGTTTGTCAACCATCTTTAATATTGTTTTAATGTCACCTTTGCACCATTTATAACATTTCTGGTATACTTTTAAATGTTTATACAGTAGTGTACTGTATACTGAAATAAACAGAATAGAGAAAATCAGCTCTAATATTCATTATTTTGGTATAAATACTGGTCATAGAGCCCGTTGTAAGTCTGAGGTGTTGGTAAACGAGTACGTTGCTAAGTGAGGAGAAGCTGTAGTTATGCATTGCATTTTGGGCAAGCTTGAACCTAACTTAAGACTGCAGTGGCAGTAGTTATTACTTGCTTATAAGGTGAAGAAAGAATGTTAACACTGTCGAAGTTGAACTAAATTGGATTATCATAAGCTAAACTTAATGTATCATTATTGTATTCCTGAAACATCTACCGTATTCTCTGGCATATAAGGCATGCTTTTTTTCCCCACAAAAAAAGTCGTGGAAAATCATCCTGCATTTTATATGCTGAAGGTGAGGGTCAAGGGTAGGCTTTGTGTTACACTCAAGCAGTTGTTTACTAACATTATGTTACAACTACTTGGGAACATCTTCCTGTATGTCTTATATACTTGTGCACTTTATATGGGGAGTTTTGAATCAAGTGTGAGAGTAATGGTGGTTGGGGATTTCAATGCTAAAGTGGGTAAAAATGTTATGGAGGGAGTAGTAGGTAAATTTGGGGTGCCAGGGGTAAATGTAAATGGGGAGCCTTTAATTGAGCTATGTGTAGAAAGAAATTTGGTAATAAGTAATACATATTTTATGAAAAAGAGGATAAATAAATATACAAGGTATGATGTAGCACGTAATGAAAGTAGTTTGTTAGATTATGTATTGGTGGATAAAAGGTTGATGGGTAGGCTCCAGGAATGTACATGTTTATAGAGGGGCAACTGATATATCGGTCATTATTTAGTTGTAGCTACAGTTAGAGTAAGAGGTAGATGGGAAAAGAGGAAGGTGGCAACAACAAGTAAGAGGGAGGTGAAAGTGTATAACCTAAGGGAGGAGGAAGTTCGGGCGAGATATAAGCGACTATTGGCAGAAGGTGGGCTAGTGCAAAGAGTGAGTAGTGGGGGGGTTGAAGAGGGTTGGAATAGTTTTAAAAATGCAGTATTAGAATGTGGGGCAGAAGTTTGTGGTCATAGGAGGGTGGGGGCAGGAGAAAGGGAGTGATTGGTGGAATGAAGAAGTAAAGGGTGTGATAAAAGAGAAAAAAGGTAGCTTACGAGAGGTTTTTACAAAGCAGAAGTGTTACAAGAAAGCAGAGTATATGGAGAGTAAAAGAAAGGTGAAGAGAGTGGTGAGAGAGTGCAAAAGGAGAGCAGATGAAGAGTGGGAGAGGCACTGTCAAGAAATTTTAATGAAAATAAGAACAAATTTTGGAGTGAGTTAAAGAAGTTAAGAAAGCCTAGGGAAAGTATGGATTTGTCAGTTAAAACAGAGTAGGGGAGTTAGTAGATGGGGAGGAGGGAGGTATTAGGTAGATGGCGAGAATATTTTGAGGAACTTTTAAATGTTGAGGAAGAAAGGGAGGCGGTAATTTCATGCACTGGCCAGGGAGGTATACCATCTTTTAGGAGTGAAGAAGAGCAGAATGTAAGTGTGGTGGAGGTACGTGAGGCATTACGTAGAATGAAAGGGGTAAAGCAGCTGGAACTGATGGATCATGACAGAAATGTTTAAAAGCAGGGGGGATATAGGTTGGAGTGGTTGGTACTTTTGTTTAATAAATGTATAAAAGAGGGGAAGGTACCTAGGGATTGGCAGAGAGCATGTATAGTCCCTTTATATAAAGGGAAAGGGGACAAAAGAGATTGTAAAAATTATAGAGGAATAAGTTACTGAGTATACCAGGAACGTATACGGTAGGGTTATAATTGAAAGAATTAGAGGTAAGACAGAATGTAGAATTGCGGATGAGCAAGGAGGCTTCAGAGTGGGTAGGGGATGTGTAGATCAAGTGTTTACATTGAAGCATATATGTGAACAGTATTTAGATAAAGGTAGGAAGTTTTTATTGCATTTATGGATTTAGAAAAGGCATATGATAGAGTGGATAGAGGAGCAATGTGGCAGATGTTGCAAGTATATGGAATAGGTGGTAAGTTACTAAATGCTGTAAAGAGCTTTTATGAGGATAGTGAGGCTCAGGTTAGGGTATGTAGAAGAGAGGGAGAATACTTCCCGGTAAAAGTAGGTCTTAGACAAGGATGTGTAATGTCACCATGGTTTGTTTAATATATTTATAGATGGGGTTGTAAAAGAAGTAAATGCTAGGGTGTTCGGGAGAGGGGTGGGATTAAATTATGGGGAATCAAATTCAAAATGGGAATTGACACAGTTACTTTTTGCTGATGATACTGTGCTTATGGGAGATTCTAAAGAAAAATTGCAAAGGTTAGTGGATGAGTTTGAGAATGTGTGTAAAGGTAGAAAGTTGAAAGTGAACATAGAAAAGAGTAAGGTGATGAGGGTATCAAATGATTTAGATAAAGAAAAATTGGATATCAAATTGGGGAGGAGGAGTATGGAAGAAGTGAATGTTTTCAGATTCTTGGGAGTTGAAGTGTTGGCGGATGGTTTTGTGAAATATGAGGTTAATCATAGAATTGATGAGGGAAAAAAGGTGAGTGGTGCGTTGAGGTATATGTGGAGTCAAAAAACGTTATCTATGGAGGCAAAGAAGGGAATGTATGAAAGTATAGTAGTACCAACACTCTTATATGGATGTGAAGCTTGGGTGGTAAATGCAGCAGCAAGGAGACGGTTGGAGGCAGTGGAGATGTCCTGTCTAAGGGCAATGTGTGGTGTAAATATTATGCAGAAAATTCGGAGTGTGGAAATTAGGAGAAGGTGTGGAGTTAATAAAAGCATTAGTCAGAGGGCAGAAGAGGGGTTGTTGAGGTATTTTGGTCATTTAGAGAGAATGGATCAAAGTAGAATGACATGGAAAGCTATATAAATCTATAGGGGAAGGAAAGAGGGGTAGGGGTGTCCTCGAAAGGGTTGGAAAGAGGGGGTAAAGGAGGTTTTGTGGGCGAGGGGCTTGGACTTCCTGCAAGCGTGCATGAGCGTGTTAGATAGGAGTGAATGGAGACGAATGATACTTGGGACCTGACAATCTGTTGGAGTGTGAGCAGGGTAATATTTAGTGAAGGGATTCAGGGAAACCGGTTTTTTCATATAGTCGGACTTGAGTCCTGGAAATGGGAAGTACAATGCCTGCACTTTAAAGGAGGGGTTTGGGATATTGGCAGTTTGGAGGGATATGTTGTGTATCTTTATACATATATGCTTCTAAGCTGTTGTATTCTGAGCACCTCTGCAAAAGCAGTGATAATGTGTGAGTGTGGTGAAAGTGTTGAATGATGATGAAAGTATTTTCTTCTTGGGGATTTTCTTTTTTTTTTTGGGTCACCCTGCCTCGGTGGAGACGCCCGCTTTGAAAAAAAAAAAAATAAAAAAAAAAATAAAAATATATAATATATATATATATATATATATATTTATATATATATATATATATATTTTATATATAATTTTTTTAAAAACACACCATCATAAAAATACATACATACATACTACATACATACATCAACATACTACATACTACATACATAATACAGTGGACCCCGGAAAACGATTTTTTTTCATTCCAAAGTTGTTCAGTCCCAGTACTGACCGAATTTGTTCCATAATGAATTTTGTGAAGATTAGCCCATTTCGACTCCAAACAACAATCAAATGACTTAAAAAATCCCTTACATAATGGTGCATTGGGAGGGGATCTTTTTAAGCAGGGGTCCATGATATATTTTTATATATTATATATAAATTATATTATATATTATTTTATATATATATATATAATTATATATATATATATATATATATATATATATACACACAGGGCCCCCCGTTAACGATCACCCCCAAAATGCGCCCAAAATTATGTAAGTGTTTTTATGAAGTGCGTTTGTACGTGTTTGTTTGGGGGTCTAAAATTGATATCTACTTCACAATATTCCTTAGGGGGAAAATTCGGTCAGTACGGCACCTGAACATACTACGGGAAATGAAAAAGTTCGTTAACCGGGGGTCCCCAAATTTTTATATATATGTAAAAATATATATATTTAATTATATATAATATATATATATATATATATATATATATATATATATATATATATATAATATATATTATATATATACTATATATTTTATTTTTATATATATATATATATATATATATATATATATATTTAAATATATATATATTTATATATTTTTTTTATATATAAAAAACAGTGGCCCCTCACCTAAAGTAAAATTTGGTCCCCGGAAAACAATTCTTTAGGCGGTTTTTTGCGTTAGCGGGGGCAAAATGTTAGCGTTAAAAATGTTTCGTTAGGCGAATTTAATGTTATGCGATGCGTTCGTTAGGCGAGGGTCCACTGTATTTATAGTATAATATATATAATATATATATATATATTATAATATATATATATTTATATTTTATTATATATATATTATATTATATATAGGTTATTTGTATGTGTGTGTTGTGTGTGTGTGTGTGTGTGCCTTAACCCTTAACGGTCCCAAAGTATATATCATTCACTCGGTACCCCCAAATTTTTGGGAAGAAAAAAATAGTTTTTTTAATAGGAAAAAAGAGTATATGGTACTCAGGTGTCCCCAATTATTTTAATATGGCGCACAGTGAGTGCGCACACCCATTCTCTCATGTCTAGGCGACTCAGGCTTATTGTGGCAATGTTGAATGAATGACAAAGAAAACGTATACTGTATATACGTTTGGGGCTCTATGCGAGAGAATGTATATGTACGTTTGGACCGTATAGGGGTTAAGAACCATTGTACTAATTTATATTACTGTGCTATCAAAAATGTGTGAATATTTCCTGAATAAGCATTATATTAATTTATATTACTGTACTATCTAAAATGTTTGAATATTTCCGGAGTGAACACTGTATTAATTTATATTACTGTACTATCTGTAAAATATTTGAATATTTCCTAAATAACATATCATGGAGAGGATAATATTGTACTAGGGATAAAATAAAAGCTTACATCTTACTGTTGTTGTTGACAGTGTGTGTTCAGGTTTTGGCTGGGACAAGGATGGAGCGCTCTTGTCAATCATCAATGATAGTTCACCTCTTGTTCATGTCTGGGATGATAATTCTGGTGAGTCAATTGTCTTATCTTACCCATTAATTTATCTCTCTAAATAATGGAGGAATCCATGCACTAGTAGTATTAACACTTTAAAGTTTTAACACTAGTATTAACACTTAAGGTTTAACACTGTATTAACATTAAGGGGTTTAGAAAATAGTATTAACCTTTTTTGGGACATAGTATTATACTTGTATTTGGGTTTTTAAACTACTGTTAAAAATTTTTTTAACACTGGTATTAACTTATTAAATTTGATTGGGGTTTTTTAACACTAGTATTAAACTTGTTTTAACACTAGTTTTAAACTTATTTAAACACTGTTTAACATTTTGCATTACCCTTTCTTTGCCCTTCCATAGTAAAAAAGGGGTTTGTGGTCACCGTCAGTACTGTGTTATATACCACGAGCTCGCTCACTCAGATGAACGTGAGGATAAATTTGGGCCTAGTATAAAAGAAAAGGCTCTATGTGATAACTGTGCCCATATAAAAAATTGAGCATGCAGTCCTGAGAAAAAACCTGTGACTGTTTTTTGGTTTTTAAAAAGCAACTTTTAGTGATTTTGTATGATTTTTACGGGTTTTATTCTCCCGTTCTTTTCTCTTTGTAAATTAAAGATATATTAAAGAAATAGAGATGAATTTGTTGATTTCAGAACTGAAATAGCTTAAAAGTGACAATTATTATTTTATTATAATAAGGGGAAGGCTAAAAACCCCCAGGATTATACAGCGCCTGGGGGGGGGGGGGGTGTGGAAGGGGATTCAGGCTTAAATTTGGGGGGAACTGGAGCACAGATCCAATTCCCAAAAAAAAGAGCCCCCACCAACATCAAAAGGGAAATTTCCTTGAGGGGAAAAGTGAGCACAAATTAGAGAAAAGTTCAGTTTTTTCATAAAGGCGATATTATTTATCAAATTTTTTTTCAGTATTGCTTAACAGTAAAACTTTTATTTATTTTGATTAAAAAATTCCTTGTGTGAATAAAATCAAAATGGATTCGTAGTAAATCCCGGAAACATAAATTATGAACAGAGGAAAAGTTTTTTAGTGCCAGGAAAGCCCGCATTGTTTATTTGGACCCTATTTTGAAATTTGGGAAAATTTTTTAACTTTGTAGAAATGGCCAAATTACTAATTTCTGATCACTTTATTAGGTATTGAAAAACAGTGGACCCCCCCTTTCGTTACCTCCCCAAAGGTTAATTTTTGTAAATGTTTTATGCAAGTGCTTTGTTGTTATGTTTGGGGGGTCTGATGGCTAATCTACTTACAAAATTTTCCTTATGGGAACAAATTTGTTCGTTGGCACTGAAAATACTTTTGGAATAAATAATATCGTAAAACCCGGGGGGCCCCTGTAGTTGATTGGGCAGTTTTTTTGTGCTCAGTTTAAAAATGAAAGAATGCTTTGCGAAATAGCTAAAGGGTTTGGTCTACTGGGAAAAATGTAATTGGGCCCAAAAAAGGACTCAAAGTGGGCAAAATTGCCACTGTGTAAAAATCGCTGTCAGCAAAAACCACTTGTATCATTTTTCCTCAAAAATTTCATATTTTTGTTTTATACCCTTTGAAAAAATTCTCTACCATTTCTAAGGGGAAAAAAAATTTTAAATTTTTTTTTTTAAAACTTGGACATGGGGAAGTTGCAGATTGGTTTCTAAAAAATGAAAGGGTTAAACTAGTATTAACCTAGTATTTAAAACTAGTATTAACACTAGTATTAACACTTGTTTAAAATGTATTAACCTAGTATTAACACTTGTATTAACACTTGATTAACACTAGTATTAACACTAGTATTAACACTAGTATTAACTATATTACATGTTTTTATGATATGACTTTACATGTTTTCATGACTTGAGGTGCTTGGAAAGTTTCAGGGAAAACGGTTGGCCGGTTTTCCCGGAGGGGGGAGTACGTGCTTGCTCTTAAAAAAGCGGGGAAACATTTGCAGTTTTGAACTTATTATCAGTGCCCCTTTGGCAAGGCAGAGATGGAGTGAATGATGGTGAAATTGTTTCTTCATTTTTGGGTCACCCTACCTAGGTGGGAGACAGCTGATTTGTTGAAAAAATAAAAAATTCTTTTTTAGTGTATTGAATTATGAGTACAGGTTTTCCACACTTTGCAAATTTGCTTTTGTTCAGTGACCCCCATTTCCAGCAGTAATTTTGCTATTTTCGATATAAATTTACTCCTGGGTTATCCCCAGGCTCACCACCACTTGCCATTTTAGCAATAGTATCTCTGGCAAGACAGTGATAGTGTGAATGATGGTGAAAGTGTTTCTTTTTCAAGTAACCTACTTTAGTGGGAGACAGTCGGTGCATTGAAATAAAAACATCCCATTAAATATCACTTTCAGTTGTCTTTTATTTTATTTATAGGAAGGAAATAAGAGAAAGAAAACAGACTAGGGATGGGGAAAGCCAATGAGAATATATTGAGAGAAATTTTGTGGCTGGCTTTCAAGAGTTGTGTCAAGTCTGGTGTAAAGCCAAAGGAAGTTAGCTGGGGGTGGGGGGAGGAGAGGGAGCAATTGAGATATGCTGTCACAGGTTGGTAATATGTGTACTTCAACCCAGGGAGGAGGGAAGAGCAGAGGGAGGGGGGGTTGAGATATTTGCTGCCAAGGTTTGTAATGTGTGTGCTCAACCCAGGGAGGAGGGAATGAGAGAGGGAGGGAGGGGTTGAGATTGCTGCCACAGGTTGCTAATGTGGTGCTTCAACCCAGGGAGGAGGGAAGAGCAGAGGGAGGAAGGGAGGGGTTGAGATATGCTGCCACAGGTTGCTAATGTGTGTGCTTCAACCCAGGGAGCAGGGAAGAGCAGAGGGAGGAAGGGAGGGGTTGAGATATGCTGCCACAGGTTGCTAATGTGTGTGCTTCAACCCAGGGAGCAGGGAAGAGCAGAGGGAGGAAGGAAGGGGTTGAGATATGCTGCCACAGGTTGCTAATGTGTGTGCTTCAACCCAGGGAGCAGGGAAGAGCAGAGGGAGGAAGGGAGGGGTTGAGATATGCTGCCACAGGTTGCTAATGTGTGTGCTTCAATCTAGGGAGGAGGGAAGAGTAAAGGGAGGGAGAAAACAGCAGAGGGATGGAGGGAAATATGTTGTCACAGGTTGATAATGTGTGTACTTCAACCCAGGGAGCAGGGAGGGAGATATGTTATCATCAGGAGCATATATTCTGGGTGTGCTAGGTGAGTGCTGCATACACACCATAGATGGTAAATTCATAGTATTAAGCTCACCCAGTAATATAATCATGGATCATAAAAAAAATTTTTTTTTCCCTTTTATTAAAAATTTTTTTGGAAAAGGCCCCCCCAAAAAAAAAAAGGGGGGGGGGGCCCCGATAATTTGGGAAAGTGAAAAAAGGGGGGTTGGGGGTTCCCCGAGTACAAACCCTTTTTTTTGGGAAAAAATTTTTTTATTTTTAAAAAATTTTAAAAAATTTAAATTTTTTTTTTTTTTTTCTTTTTTTTTTTTTGGGGGGGGGAAAAATTTTTTAAAAAGGGACCCCCCAAAAAAAGGGGGAAAAAATTTTTTTTTAATTAAATTTTTGGTTTTTTTTCCCCGGTTTTTTAAAAAAAAAGGGGCCCTTTCTTTTTAAATTTTTTTCCCCTTTCCCCTTTTTTAAAATTTTTTAAAATTTTTTTTTTTTTTTTTAAAAAAAGGGGGGGAAAAAAACCCCCAAAAAAAAATTTTTTTTCCTTTCCTTTTTTTTAAAAAATTTTTTAAAGGGGAAAATTAAAAAACCCCTTTTTTAAAAATTTTTTTTTAAAAAAAAATTTTTTTTTTTAAAAAAAAACCCCCCCCCCTTGGGGAAAAAAAAAAAAAATTTTTTTTTTTTTAAAAAAATTTAAAAATTTTAAAAATTTTTCCCCTTTTTTTCCCCGGAAATTTTAAAACCCCCAAAAAATTAACCCTTTTTTTTATTATTTAAATTTTTATATATCTTTGAAAATTCTTTAAATTTAAATTTTGTTTTGTGTGGGTATGGGTTGGTAGAAGAAACCATCCAAGGTATTTTCCGTCCCCCAATGAGTGAAAAAACGAAGCCTGTGATTGTTTTACATGATGGTAGGATTGCTGATGTCTTGTAGTCGTCTCATAAATATGCAAGATTAAGATGTCTTGCTACTTATACTCACCTTAGTCACACTACACATCATGGTAACATTTATATACACATCACTAGTTTTTTTGATTTTATCTTATAGTTCGTGGCAGTTTTCAGACCATAAGTGAATAAGTAATTTTCTCGTAGGCCAGGGTTTGGAAAAGTAAACAAATAATGCCAAATGAGCAGTAATGGCTGTAAAGTTATAAACGTTAACAAAGACAAATTGTCTTCTTTTTTATCCTGGTGAGATGGTGACTACTCGTTGAAAAAAAAATAAAAAAATTTGATTTTGTTTATAATAATTCTGGTCTTGCAGTATCATGATATAATCTGGCCATAATTTGTTTTCAGATCTAATTGTACACACTCAGAAACAAAGATTAAGTCAGGATGAAGACTTGGGTTGTTGATGTAACAATATCAGCTGTTATTTACAGTTTACCCTGCAAAGTTGTGTGTTGATATGCTCAGTGGCACTTGCTCACTTTCATGATTTTCTTACGTTCTTGTGCATATTGTTAGAATTTGTTAATGTTAATCTTAAATGCTATACGGGAAAACTGGAGGAAGGGAGGGAGGAAAGGAAAAGAGGCAGATTATAATTGAATCTTGGTTTTTTCTTTTCACTCTGGTGTACAATTGAACAAGTGTACTAGAGATGGAGCGATACCAGATTTGTTGCCAGTACCGACACTCAGTTTTAGGCCAATATCAGTACCATCAAAACTAACTGTCACTCATCAATACTGGTACCAATACCATCAAACTTGGCTGATACCCACTGATACTGATATTTAGTTTTAAACTGATACAGGTACCATCAAAATTAGCCAATACCCACTAATACCATTGCTGATACCCAGGCACATCCCTAAAGTAGCATCATTACTCATACTTCTCCTTGTTTTCTAAATTCTTACAACCCACCCTATCATTTTGTGGGACTTTACTGCATTACCTTAATTGTGTTGTGTAAATAATATATTATTTGAGAGTATTACTGCTGAGTCTTGCGTATGTTTCTTTGCTCTCTTCCTCCAACTTGTAGTATGTGCTCATATTTAGTTATTTTTTAATGTATACATTTTAGAATTATTATGAATGCTCATCGTGTTATTTCTGTTTGCCCACTGGAAAAACGTTGATGTCTCTTTGTAATTTTTCTTTGTCATTACTGTACTGGCAAAATATTAATCATTTATTCCACTGTTTTCAACATCATTAATATACACCACCATCAAATGTTATCCAGGGCATGGACAGCCCTGGGACTATGAGCTCGGAGACATACAGCCTCTCCTCACTTAATAACAGAGTTCCTTTCCAAAGACCACATCGGTAAATGAATTCATCACTAAGTGAGGAGCATACTGTAATGGTAGTGGGTTTGTGTCAACTATCTTTGAGAATGTTTTAATATCACCTTGAACCATTTATAACATTTCTGGTATATTTTTAAATGTTTATACAGTAATGTACTGTATATTGTAATACAGTGGACCCCGGGTATTTGATATTAATCCGTTCCTGAGAGCTCATCGTATACCAAAATTATCGAAAGGTGAATTAATTTTCCCCATAAGAAATAATGGAAATCAAATTAATCCATGCAAGACACCCAAAAGTATGAAAAAAAAGTTTTACCACATGAAATATTAAGTTTAATGCACACAAACTGAAGAAGACATGCACAGTTTGTAGTACTCTACTAACAATAGAATACATGACACTTACCTTTAATGAAGATCTGGTGATGATTGATGGGATGGGAGGAGGGGAGAGTGTCGAACTTATTGTTTAGAAGGGGAATCCCCTTCCATTAGGACTTGAGGTAGCAAGTCCTTTTCCGGGGTTACTTCTCTTCTTCTTTTAATGCCACTAGGACCAACTTGAGAGTCACTGGACCTCTGTCACGCAACAAATCTGTCCATAGAGCTCTGTACATCCCGTTCCTTTACAATTTGTCTAAAATGGGCCACAACATTGTCATTGTAATAGTCACCAGCACGGCTTGCAATAGCTGTGTTAGGGGGATTTTCATCCATAAAGGTTTGCAGTTCAACCCACTGTGCACACATTTCCTTAATTTTTGAAGTAGGCACAATGGATTCCACAATTGGCATAGGCTTCTCAGGGTTAGCCCCAAACCCTTTTTACCATAGGGTTGGCACTAGAAGCTTTCTTGGGGCCCATGGTGACTTATTTTGCAGAAACAAGCACCAAAAACACTGTGATAATATGGAATGTACCGAATGTATCCTTAGATGCGAGCACACTGGCTGGCTTGTAAACACTAGGCCACACATGGACACGTCTCGAACGAATTGCGTGTGACGGGTTTTTTAACAAGAAGCGAGCCAAAATTTTTGCGTTAAAATGTATCAAATACCGGATTTATCGGATACCGTTGCCATCGAATACCGGGGGTCCACTGTATACAGTACACTACTGTAGAGGACATCAGCTCTAATATACATTATTTAAGTATGCATACTGGTCAGAGAGCCTGTCGGAAGTTTGAGTCGTCAGTAAATGAGTACGTATGTCATTAAGTGAGGAGAGGCTGTATAAACTTTTTTAAATCACTTGCAAATGTATCAGGTTAAGAAGAATGCTCTAATTATGAATAAGGAAATATATTTCAAATTATATATTGACTGTTTACCACACTGATCATAGAACAGATGAGGTTTGAACCCATGGCCATTGAGTCCTGCAATTCACAGACTGTTCTGTGATTTATTTGCACTCGTGTTTTTACCGTACTGTTTTCAGCAGCATTAAAATACTATGACACGTTTACATACAGGGAGAGTACAGCACCTGGACTCAGGGCTCCGAGATACACTAACATTCCTAGCATGGTCTCGCACTGCCCCTCTTCTAGCTGTGGGAACCTCTAAAGGCAACCTTATGATCTACAACCATCAAACATCAAGGTACACCTACCATCCGACTTACGACCGAGTTCGGTTCCGAGAAGCCGGTCGTAAGTCGAAATGGTCGTAAGTCGAACTTTACTACTGAATATCAACAAAACATTTTTGTAATGACTTTATTTTATTGTTTTATTTTGGTATTTCATGTTTTACTTTACTTTTTATGTTGTTAGTACTGTATTTTATACTGTAAGGTTTAGGATAAACACTGTGTACAACACAAATAGTTGTTTATTTCCCAGAAATTTGGCATAAAAAACACGGTCTTAAGTCGAGTGGTCGTAAGTCGAGCAGGTCGTAAGTCAGATGGTAGGTGTATATGCATGTTGTAATGATTGTAGTAGTGGAGTCACTTGGATTTCTGTGGTAGGTTTCTTTTGAGTGCAGTTGTGCTAGATAACTTATGGAGTATAGTGCCTGCACTCTGAAGGATGGGTGGGGTTGTTACAGAGGGTAAGCTAATTACGATGTCTATCTTGACTGGCCATGGACCAGGCTGCAGGGGTCCACCCTCCCCGTGGCCTGGTCCATGACCGGACTTCACAGTGGATCAGGGCCTAATCAACCAGGCTGTTACTGCTGGCCGCACACAGTCCAGCGTACAAACCACATCTTGGCTGGTCAGGCACTGACTGCACACTTCTGGAAAGACAGAGATTGATTAACTGTTGGTGAATGTGTTTTCTTCTTTAGGTCACCCTTCTTTAGCAGGAGACAGCCCCAGAAACTGACATTATCTTCAACTTTCACTTCTGAATTCTTTTTTATATTTCTTTGTTCTAAATGGTTGTGAGGTTGTTGTTGTTGTTGGGGTTTATAGGGCCACTGACAGCATAGACCATATCGAGCCCTGCCTTCCTCAACCAAAGTGGAAGGATATTTATATTACCTCAACCAAAGTAGAAAGATATTGACTAATAACTGCATATTATATATCCCTAATGTGCTCTGAAGCCAGCAAGAATGCGCAGGTACAGGCCAGGACCTCCTGATGGTCTGGCGGGTCAAACCCCTCCCCATTGAGAAGGAGAGGTAGGGTTAAAAATTGCACCCCAAATGTGTACAAGGCTAAACAGAGAATAGTCCATGCAGAGTGGTAACGGGGGCACCACAGTAGGAAATGTTCCACCGTCTCAGGGTTTGAGGGACACCACGGGCAGTACGGAGAGTCCGTCATCCAAAGGTGGTGCAGACGAGCTGCCAGTCATGAGTGCCCAACCCAGAGACAAGTCAGTGCAACATCCAGTGTGATTGAAATAGCGAGCCCAAGGGTAGGGGCCATTGAAAGATGAGATAGAGCTCAATGCTGAAGAAGAGAGGGAGCGTAACAGATTCTCCTGCCATAAATGACGGATTCTTTTCAAACAGTCCTTGTGAAATCACTACGGCCCAGTGCAAGAGAGGTAATGGTAGGAAGTGAGTGTGTGAGGGAGGCCGCTCGATCAGCCACTTCATTGCCTCGAATGCCAACATGGGCCAGCACCCACTGAAGGGAGATGCTCCAACCCAAACTCTGGAAGAAGCGCAGAAGAAACTACGTCTGTCAGACGAGGACATGTAGGGACCATGGACTAATAGAGCACAAAAGTACCAGGGAAGATTGGGAATCAGAGAAGAGAACCACAGGCTGAGGAGGAAGGTGAGCAAGGACAAAAACCAAAGCCTGGTGAATGGCAAAGAGCTCACCTGCTAGGACTGAGTGAGTGGGGTCTAACCGCCAGGTTTGACACAGAGAGATCAGCGAAGAAGGCAGCAGAAGACATAGTAGGAGGGGAAGTTCATGCTGAGCTGTCTGTGTAGATGGAGAAGGAAGAACCATACGTGACAGCACGAAACTCTTCAAAGAGAAATGCAGCTATCTGAGGGGGTTCCCTGTTCCTGTAAGGCCAATCCAGGTGGATGTACCAGAGAGTGGAGAGGAGGATTGTGAGGTTGCTGTTTCCCCTTAAAACATGAAAACTTATCCAAGTTTTCCTGTAGGGATTTAATGTTTTTTAATCATGTTCACTATCTACCATCTAGTGAGGAGGACATCTCTAAAGTGTAACATGTCCACCTCTCCTGTTCATTACATCTCTGAAGTTGTTTGTTGTTACACTTAGGAATAGTGATACTATAGTAGTGGTACTAGTAAGACTTATGGTTCAGTGGTAGAGTATTCAGCTCATAACAGAAGTTTCCAGGTTTGATTTCCTGGCAGGTTCAGACATAGCAGAATATTTACCTAAATTTGCTGCCTTTGTTTACTTACCAATATAATATGTATATGGGTGTTAGTCAGCTATTGTGGGTTACAGTCTAGGAAAGAGTCAGAAAGATATTGAAAATAAGCCATTCTATTTGGTTTTCTTAGGTTATCCTCTATTAATAATGTAAAGAATGTCTACTGCAACATACTAATTACTATACAGTACTATAGTATTAAAAGCAGTCTGTGTTGTGTTGTGTTGCAGGCGGATCCCAGTTGTGGGCAAACATAGTCGGAAGATTCAGAGTGGATGTTGGTCATCTGGGAATCTCTTGGCTCTAGGTGGAGAGGACAAAATTCTTACCATAAGCAGCAGTGAAGGAGACACTCTGAGGACGACTCCCCTTCGAGGTGAACCTTCAGATATACAGTTCTCAGAAATGAAACAAGATGAGAGAGCTATGGCTGAAAACACGGTTGGTCCTTTGCTTTATAATTTATTGTCATAATGTCATAGTTGTTCAATATATTTATAGATAAGTTGTAAGAGAAGTGAATGATCAGGTTGCAGAGGTTAGTGGACAAGTTAAGTAGGGTATGTAAAAGAAAGAAATTAAAAGTGAACATAGGAAAGGGCAAGGTGATGAAGATAACAAAATTTAAGAAATGAAAAATTGGATATCAGATTGGAAGGAGGGAGTATGGAGGAAATAATGTGTTTAGATATTTGGAAGTGACTCATGAAATTGTAATAACACGATTGCAAACAAATCACAGTATGGGTGGGAACCGAACTCATGGCAAGTGAGTTGTAACACTCAAAACCAGTGCATAAGCCACTGGGCCAGCTCATTACAAGAAGATTCATCCAACTAGGTATATTTATACACCATAGGGAGGTTAGCATGGGTCCCACTGTTACCACAAATGCAAGTTTTTACAGATGAATCTCCTGCCAGCATGGCCATGGCAAACACTAGCTCAAGTCCCCTCAAAGCTTATGCACTGGTCTGGAGTTTCACAACTCACTTGCTGCAAGTTCAAGCCCTACCCATACTGTGGTTTGTTTGCAATCGTGTTATTACGATTTTATGAGTCATGATGACGGCTTTGAGGGGACTTGAGCTAGAGTTCGCCACAGCCATGCTGGTAGGAGATTCATCTGTAAAAACTTGCATTTGTGAGAACAGTGAGACCCATGCTAACCTCCCTATGGTGTGTAAATATACATTGTACCTAGTTAGATGATTCTTATTGTAGCCAGCTGGCCCAGTGGCTTACACATTGGCCTGGAGTTTTACCACTCACTTGCTGCGAGTTCAAGCCCCACCCGTACTGTGGTTTATTATAGAGTGGACATGTCAGCAGATTGGTCTATGAAAGATGAGGTGAACCATAGAATTGATGAGGGGGGGAAAAAAGGTGAGTGATGCACTGAGGAATCTGTGGAGACAAAGGATGTTATCCATGGAATCAAAGAGGGGAATATATGAGAGTATAGTGGTACCAATGCTCTTATATGGATGTGAAGCATGGGTGGTGAATGTTGCAACAAGGAGAAGGCTGGAGGCAGTGAAGATGTCGTGTCTGAGGGGCAATGTGTGGTGTAAATATAATGTGGAGAATCTGTAGCTTGGAGATTAGAAGGAGGTGTAGGGTTTCTAAAAGTATTATCCAGAGGGCTGAAGAGAGGGTTGTTGAGGTGGCTCAGTCATTTAGAGAGGATGGAACAAAATAGAATGACTTGGAGGGTGCATAAATCTATAGTGGAAGGAAGGCTGGGTAGGGGTTGTCCTAGGAAAGGTTGGAGGGAGGGGATGGAGGAGGTTTTGTGTGCAAGGGTCTTTAGACTTCCAACAAGCTTGCATGAGCATGTTAGGAGCAAGTGGAAGCAAATGGTTTTTGTGACTTCACGTGCTGTTGGAGTGTGAGCAAAGTAACATTTATGAAGGGATTCAGGGAAGCTGGTTAGCAGGACTGGGGTCCTGGAGGTGGAAAGTACAGTACCTGCACTCTGAAGGAGGGGAGGAAATATGTTACAGTTTTTGAACTGTAGTATCGGCACACCTCTGGCAAGACAGTGATGGAGTGAGTGATGATGAAATTGTTTCCTCTTTTTTGGGTCACCCTGCCTTGGTAGGAAACAGCCAATGTGTTAAAAAAAAAATTGCTAATTTCTCAGTGGGTGTGTAGAGGAATCTTTCCTCCATAGGCCATGCGTGTCATGAGAGGCGACTAAAATGCTGGGAGCTAGGGGCTAGTAGCACCTTCTTCTGTATAAATTACTTAATGTAAATAGAAGAAAAACTTTGTTTCTTCTTTTTTGGGTCACCTTGCCTTGGCTGTGTCAAAAATAATGTTTTTTTTTTTCAACAAGTCAGCCGTCTCCCACCGAGGCAGGGTGACCCAAAAAGAAAGAAAATCCCCCAAAAGAAAATACTTTCATCATCATTCAACACTTTCACCTCACTCACACATAATCACTGTTTTTGCAGAGGTGCTCAGAACACAACAGTTTAGAAGCATATACGTATAAAGATACACAACATATCCCTCCAAACTGCTAATATTACTAAAGTTACTAATTATATTTATCCCTTTCACTGTTTCGACCCCTGATCTGAAACTTTTCCACAATGTCCAAGAATTTTCAAAAATAAGATTTTTGTTATTTTTCTTATGAAATGGTAGAGAAGGTAATAAAACAAAATTGATGGAAAATTGACAAAGTTACACTTTCATGAATTTTGCTGCATCATTGATATTTATGCATTGGTGATTTTGCCCACTTTGAGTCCTATTTTTAGACCAATTACATTGTTCTAGTTGATCAAATTCTTAGCTATTTCACTAGCATGTCTTCCATTTTATCAATTTAGCACAAGAAATCATCCAGTCAACTATTTCAACTAATCATTAAAGTGATCGGAAATGGGTAATTTGGCCATTTTCACACAAATATCAAAATATTCCATTTTCAAAATAGGGTTTAGAATAAACATTGCAGGCATTCCTGGCACTAAAATAACATTTCCTATGTTCATTAGTTATGTTCCCAGGCTTTACACTTGAATTCCATTTTGATTTTTTATTCACACAAAGAATATTTGTGCACAAAAAATAGAGGATTTACTTTTATACATTTTGTAATAATTGTATAAATAATATCAGTGCATTCATGAACAAATTTTATACCCACCAGTTGGATGTGTATTAGACTAGTGATATGAGTAGTTTATTCTTGAACATCGGCAAAAATCGAACAATTCTGTTACTTTTAGCTCAATTTCAAGCTATATTCAGTTCTAAAACCAATCAGAATCATAGCTGTTTCTGTAATATATCTTCCATTCTATCAAATGAGACCAAGAAACTGAGATTACAACCATAAAAACCATATGAAAATACCCTGCAAATTCACTCTTTTAAACCAAAAACAGGGATGCAGTTTTTTCTTATTACGCACTGCATGCTGCAGGATTTTTTTATATGGTGCACACTTGTCACATAGACCTGTTCTATCATATCTAGGCCCAAATATACTGCTCACAGCTCATCTGAGTGAGCTGAGCTCGTGGCGTAGTACATACTACAGTAGTGACATTGACTTCAAAACCGTAGTACAGGTTCACCATCACTAATCCGGCATCTTTGTGACCTGTAAGATGTCAGATTAATGATTTTGCTGGATTACAGAGTGATTAGGTTAGAATATGCTTAACCCAACGGCGATATTTACTCATCAGCGATTTCACCCACTTCATGCCCTATTTTTGGCTCATTCCATTGTTCCAGTCTACCAAACTCAGCTATTTTGCTAGTATTCCTTTTATTCTTTTGATTGAGTACAAGAAACCACCCATTTACCTATTTCAACTACCTGGAGAGGGTTTTGGGGGTCAATGCCCCTGCGGCCCAGTCTGTGACCAGGCCTCATGGTGGTTCAGGGCCTGATCAACCAGGCTGTTACTGTTGGCCACATGCAGCCCAACGTATGAACCACAGCTTGGCTGGTCAGAAATCAATAATTTGGCCAATTTCACACAAATTTCAAGAGATGCCAATTTCAAAACAGTTCTCAGAATAAACAGTGCAGACATTCCTAGCACTAAAATAACATTTTCTCTGTTCATTAGTCACGTCTCCAGGCCTCTCTTATATTACGCTTGCTTTCCGTTTTGAATTTTTATTCACACAAAAAATAGAAGGTTTACTGTTGTGCAGACTACTGCTTTATTGTAATATTTGTACAAATAATGTAACCCATTCGTGACTGCGTATTAGACCGGCCAGTTGGACACATATTGGATGGTGATGTCATTTGTTTAATGTTGAACATCAGCAAAAATCAGACATTTCTGCTACTTTGAGTTCAATTTCATGGTACTGTCCTTTTTGAAACCAATAAAAATCATATCTATTTCTGTAAAAGATCTTCCATTCTATCAAATGAGGCCAAAAAACGAGAATACAACCATAAAATCCATACAAAAATACACCGCAAAGTCGCTGTTTTACACCGAAAACACGTTTGCAATGAGCAGGTTATAACAGTAAATGGAGTAAAAAGAATTAGAATAACTTATGCAGCAAGTAGTGCCACCAAACAGGAGCGGTAGGTTGGTGTGGCTACCTCAGAAATTTGAAATTATGCTAGCCGAAATTAGTGCCGGATTACTGATTGAACCAGATTACTGATTGCCGGATTAGTGATGGCTGACCTGTACTATGGCACAGTCAGCGAAAGGGCTAAAAAATGCCTAAAAATTTTGAGTTCCTATTAAATATTGCACACATGAGATAGATGCAAGCTAATAATGTGTAAATACACCACATACTGTATATAAATTTTTGACAAGATGGCAGTTAGCATAGGGGTAGATTGTTTAGGGAATATTTGATTCTATGTACAGTGGACCCTCGACCAACCATGGCATTCTATAACGTTAAATCCGACTAGCGATACATTTTAACGCAAAAATTTTGCCTCGACTAGCTCTAAAAAAGTCGACCAACGTGATTCGTTCCGTTCGAGACGCGTCCACGTGTGGCCTGAGTGCGCCTCACTTGTCCCATGGGTCCCAGTGTTTACAAGCCAGCCACCGCGGTTGTGTCCAAACATACAATCGGAACATTTCATATTATTACAGCGTTTTTAGTGATTGCACCTGCAAAATAATTCACCATGGGCCCCAAGAAAGCTTCTAGTGCCAACCCTGTGATAAAAAGGATGAGAATTAGTATGGAAATTAAGAAAGATTTTGAAGGGTTTGGGGCTAACCCTGAGATGCCTATGCCAGTTGTGGAATCCATTGTGCCTACTTCAAAGATTAAGGAAATGTGTGCAAAGTGGGTTGAACTGCAAACCTTTATGGATGAAAATCACCCTAACACAGCTATTGCAAGCAGTGCTGGTGACTATTACAATGACAATGTTATGGCCCATTTTAGACAAATCTTAAAGGAACGGGAGGTACAGAGCTCTGTGGACAGATATATTGTGCGACATAGGTCCAGTGACTCTCAAGCTGGTCCTAGTGGCATTAAAAGAAGAAGGGAAGTAATCCTGGAAAAGGACTTGACACCTCAAGTCTTGAGGTGTCAAGCCCCTTCCATTAGGACTTGACACCTCAAGTCCTAATGGAAGGGGATTCCCCTTGTAAACACTAACACCATCCACACTTTTCCCTCCTCCCATCCCATCAGTCATCACCAGATCTTCAATAAAGGTAATTGTCATGTAATTGTACATGTCTTCTTCAGTTTGTGTGTATTAAAATTAATATTTCATGTGGTAAAATTTTTTTTTTTCAATACTTTGGGGGTGTTAGGAACAGATTAATTTGATATCCATTATTTCTTATGGGGAAAATTAACTCGACTAATGATAATTTCGACTAACGATGAGCTCTCAGGAACGGATTAATATCGTTGGTCGAGGGTCCACTGTATATCCATTTGTTTGGCATCTTATTCCCATTGCATTTTGAACATTCTACCATAGAGAAGACAATTTGTAGCAGTAAATAGTCACGTAGTGCCTGGACTCAGCACAGGAAGTTGATCCAAAAACAAACATACTTGGCCAGTGCCTCAGTATCTTATGCTGTATTGTACATAATATAACATTCAAGATGAGGACAGACTTTAAAATTACTTTATTTTTTACTTTGTTTAGGTAAGCCTTGTTGTTGCCAAGAAAACTCTCTTCCTCTACAACCTCAATGACCCAGAAAATCCCATTGAACTGGCCTTCCAAAGCAGATATGGAAACATTGTTTCTTACAAGTGGTGAGTTTGGCAGATTTTACTTTATTGAAGTACAGTGGACCCCCGCATAACGATTACCTCCGAATGCGACCAATTATGTAAGTGTATTTATGTAAGTGCATTTGTACGTGTATGTTTGGGGGTCTGAAATGGACTAATCTATTTCACAATATTTCTTATGGGAACAAATTCGGTCAGTACTGGCACCTGAACATACTTCTGGAGTGAAAAAATATCGTTAACCGGGGGTCCACTGTATTAGAAGTAGTGTAGACATCAGTATAAATGTAAGTCAAGTATGCAAACTGATTTAGTGAACATGTTTACTTTGTAAAACACCTGTGAGTAGGTGTCTCTCAACACAACATGCACTGTGTTATATCTAGCAGGTGTCTCTCTCAACACAACGTGCACTGTGTTATATCTAGCAGGTGTCTCTCTCAACACAACATGCACTGTGTTATATCTAGCAGGTGTCTCTCTCAACACAATGTGCACTGTGTTATATCTAGCAGGTGTCTCTCTCAACACAATGTGCACTGTGTTATATCTAGCAGGTGTCTCTCTCAACACAACGTGCACTGTGTTATATCTAGCAGGTGTCTCTCTCAACACAATGTGCACTGTGTTATATCTAGCAGGTGTCTCTCTCAACACAACGTGCACTGTGTTATATCTAGCAGGTGTCTCTCTCAACACAGCATGCACTGTGTTATATCTAGCAGGTGTCTCTCTCAACACAATGTGCACTGTGTTATATCTAGCAGGTGTCTCTCTCAACACAACGTGCACTGTGTTATATCTAGCAGGTGTCTCTCTCAACACAACATGCACTGTGTTATATCTAGCAGGTGTCTCTCTCAACATAACATGCACCATGTTATATCTAGCAGGTGTCTCTCTCAACATAACATGCACCATGTTATATCTAGCAGGTGTCTCTCTCAACACAGCATGCACTGTGTTATATCTAGCAGGTGTCTCTCTCAACACAATGTGCACTGTGTTATATCTAGCAGGTGTCTCTCTCAACACAGCATGCACCATGTTATATCTAGCAGGTGTCTCTCTCAACACAGCATGCACCGTGTTATATCTAGCAGGTGTCTCTCTCAACACAATGTGCACTGTGTTATATCTAGCAGGTGTCTCTCTCAACACAGCATGCACCGTGTTATATCTAGCAGGTGTCTCTCTCAACACAGCATGCACCGTGTTATATCTAGCAGGTGTCTCTCTCAACACAGCATGCACCGTGTTATATCTAGCAGGTGTCTCTCTCAACACAGCATGCACCGTGTTATATCTAGCAGGTGTCTCTCTCAACACAGAACATACACCATGTTATATCTAGCAGGTGTGTCTCTCAACACAGAACATACACCATGTTATATCTAGCAGGTGTCTCTCTCAACACAGCATGCACCGTGTTATATCTAGCAGGTGTCTCTCTCAACACAGAACATACACCATGTTATATCTAGCAGGTGTCTCTCTCAACACAGCATGCACCGTGTTATATCTAGCAGGTGTCTCTCTCAACACAGAACATACACCATGTTATATCTAGCAGGTGTCTCTCTCAACACAGAACATACACCATGTTATATCTAGCAGGTGTCTCTCTCAACACAGAACATACACCATGTTATATCTAGCAGGTGTCTCTCTCAACACAGAACATACACCATGTTATATCTAGCATGTGTCTCTCTGAACACAGAACATACACCATGTTATATCTAGCAGGTGTCTCTCTGAACACAGAACATACACCATGTTATATCTAGCAGGTGGCTCTCTGAACACAGAACATGCACCATGTTATATCTAGCAGGTGTCTCTCTCGACACGGAACATTCATTATGTGTTATATCTAGCAGGTGTATCTCTCAACACAGAACATGTTCTGAGAGCTTACAGTAACTCTTATATTAGGGATTAAAGTATCCTGATGTAAGTGTCTACACCAGTTGTTTCTTTAATGACTGTTATTATTATCAATAGTCCTTAAATCCAACAAATTAACTGCTTTATGCAGGCATACTTCACTTTAATGTGCTTTCTTTTAGAGTGTTTTGCTAATACAGTGCTTTTCAGTTATGTATTAGGTTTATTATTATCGGTGCTTGCCCGAAATGCCCCGGCATGATAATGGCTTTGTACTTAGCAAACCAATATTGTAATTACACATTGTAAACTATGCAAAGAAATAAAAACCTTAACCTTAATCCTTCATGGCTTGTGGTGGTGACGCACATGTCAGCTGACTCCCAGCTGAATCAAGCATTGTTTTTTAGGTGTAGCACTATTGTGCACTTAATAAATGATTGTGTTCCCAGGAACCTAACGGTTGTGTTAGCGAGGTATGTAATCTTTGTGGTAATTTTAGTAATGGCAGCACTCCTTAATTATCTTTAGTGTGGTATTGTTATATGATAAGTCTAAGAAGACCAACTCTAATGTGAAAATTTTTTGTAGGTATGGCGATGGGTATATTTTACTAGGATTCTCGGGAGGATATTTTGTCGTCATTTCCACTCACCTCAAAGAAATTGGACAGGAATTATTTCAAGCTAAGAACCACAGAGATGTATTAAATGATATAGCCATTTCCACCACTCTGAGTAAAGCAGCGTCATGTGGAGATAATGTGTGAGTACATATTACTTATTTTATACTCTTAATACTAATGAAAATAAAAGAGTACTCTTGGTTTTTTCCATGTGAGTTTGTTACTTTTCTTTAGAATCTTTCATAAGCACAGTATCATCAGCAAAAAGTAACTGAGTCAACTCCCATTTTGTATTTGATTCCCCAAATTTAATCCCACTCCATTCTCCAACACCCTAGCATTTACTTCTTTTACAACCCCATCTATAAATATATTAAACAACCATGGTGACATTATACATCCCTGTCTAAGACCTACTATCCCTTTTAATATTTACCAGGAAGTAATCTCCCTCTCCCCTACACACCCCAACCTGAGTCTCACTATCCTCATAAAAACTCAAATACACCTACCATCCAACTTACGACCGAGTTCGGTTCCGAGAAACGGTCGTAAGTCGAAATGGTCATAAGTCGAACTTTACTACTGAATATCAACAAAACATTTTTGTAATGACTTTATTTTATTGTTTTATTTTGGTATTTCATGTTTTACTTTACTTTTTATGTTGTTAGTACTGTATTTTATACTGTAAGGTTTAGGATAAACACTGTGTAAACACAAATAGTTGTTTATTTCCCAGAAATTTGGCATAAAAAACACGGTCGTAAGTTGAGTGGTCGTAAGTCGGATGGTAGGTGTAATTACATCCACCAAGACAGCCACAACTGTAAGCCAGCTAGACGAGACCAAGCTGCCACACAGTTATTGTTATTGTTACATGTATTATGTAACAGACAATTACTTTAGGCATTCTATTATTAGACATACATACAGCTGTAGCCGGGAACCTAACCTGCTATATAAGCGGGCCCCTCCTGTACAGCAGTAGCCCGGAATTTAACCTGCTGTATAAGCAGGACCCACCTGTACAACAATAGTCCAGAACCTAACCTGCTGTATAAGTGAGGCCTGCCTGTACAGCAGTAGCACAGAAGCTAACCTGCTGTATAAACAGGGCCCTCCTGTACAGCAGTAGCACGGAACCTAACCTGCTGTATAAACAGGGCCCTCCTGTACAGCAGTAGCCAGGAACCTAATCTGCTGTATAAGCAGGGCCCTCCTGTACAGCAGTAGCCAGGAACCTAACCTGCTGTATAAGCAGGGCCCTCCTGTACAGCAGTGGCTTATACCCTAACCAGCTGTATAAGTGGGGTCCAACTGTATTACATAGTAAGAATTTTATTCTCATTTTGTATATTTTTTTGGTCTGTTTGATAAGTACTATTTGAGATATGAAAGAGGTGTTCAGTATAAATGCACAGTATAAATGCTGTGTATGTTTAGTTCGTTAAATTTTGTATAGAACAATTGTGTATTGTCTTGATGTAACATGAGTGATGATCCTTCTTACAGTCTTTCTTTGTGTTATGGTTGGTTTTAGATAAGATTCTATTGTCGATTCCACTACTGCTGATACTGTTAACTACTATTATTACTAATTACTACTAACTACTAATTACTTTTTCTTACTAGCATCAAGATACATGAACTATCAGACCTGAAGGAGACATTTGCTGTTATAACTCTGGATGATGAGCGTGGATTAGAATTCCTGGAATGGTCGGATGATGGACAGTTGCTTGCTGTGGCTACTCCTTCGGGTATGTATTTCTCTTCTTGCACAAATAACCCGAGCATAGAAGAGAGGAGATTACGACGACGTTTCGGTCCGACTTGGACCATTTACAGTCACACTGTGACTTTGTAAATGGTCCAAGTCGGACTGAAAAAACTTCTGTGTCTTCTTTTTCTGGTGTCACCCTGCCTTGGTGGTCACCCTGCCTTGGTGGTCACCCTGCCTTGGTGGTCACCCTGCCTTGGTGATCACCCCGCCTTGGTGATCACCCTGCCTTGGTGATCACCCTGCCTTGGTGATCACCCTGCCTTGGTGTCACCCTGCCTTGGTGGTCACCCTGCCTTGGTGGTCACCCTGCCTTGGTGATCACCCTGCCTTGGTGGTCACCCTGCCTTGGTGATCACCCCGCCTTGGTGATCACCCTGCCTTGGTGTCACCCTGCCTTGGTGGTCACCCTGCCTTGGTGGTCACATTGCCTTGGTGGTCACCTGCCTTGGTGGTCACCCTGCCTTGGTGATCACCCCGCCTTTTGGGGATCACCCTGCCTTGGTGGTCACCCTGCCTTGGTGTCACCCTGCCTTGGTGATCACCCTGCCTTGGTGGTCACCCTGCCTTGGTGATCACCCTGCCTTGGTGTCACCCTGCCTTGGTGGTCACCCTGCCTGGTGGGTCACCCTGCCTTGGTGATCACCCTGCCTTGGTGGTCACCCTGCCTTGGTGATCACCCCGCCTTGGTGATCACCCTGCCTTGGTGTCACCCTGCCTTGGTGGTCACCCTGCCTTGGTGGTCACCCTGCCTTGGTGGTCACCCTGCCTTGGTGATCACCCTGCCTTGGTGATCACCCTGCCTTGGTGTCACCCTGCCTTGGTGGTCACCCTGCCTTGGTGGTCACCCTGCCTTGGTGGTCACCCTGCCTTGGTGGTCCCCTGCCTTGGTGATCACCCCGCCTTGGTGATCACCCTGCCTTGGTGTCACCCTGCCTTGGTGGTCACCCTGCCTTGGTGGTCACCCTGCCTTGGTGATCACCCTGCCTTGGTGATCACCCTGCCTTGGTGATCACCCTGCCTTGGTGATCACCCTGCCTTGGTGATCACCCTGCCTTGGTGGTCACCCTGCCTTGGTGATCACCCTGCCTTGGTGGTCACCCTGCCTTGGTGGTCACCCTGCCTTGGTGGTCACCCTGCCTTGGTGATCACCCTGCCTTGGTGATCACCCTGCCTTGGTGGTCACCCTGCCTTGGTGATCACCCTGCCTTGGTGATCACCCTGCCTTGGTGATCACCCTGCCTTGGTGGTCACCCTGCCTTGGTGATCACCCTGCCTTGGTGGTCACCCTGCCTTGGTGGTCACCCTGCCTTGGTGGTCACCCTGCCTTGGTGATCACCCCGCCTTGGTGATCACCCTGCCTTGGTGGTCACCCTGCCTTGGTGGTGACCCTGCCTTGGTGATGACCCTGCCTTGGTGGTCACCCTGCCTTGGTGATCACCCTGCCTTGGTGATCACCCTGCCTTGGTGATCACCCTGCCTTGGTGGTCACCCTGCCTTGGTGGTCACCCTGCCTTGGTGGTCACCCTGCCTTGGTGGTCACCCTGCCTTGGTGATCACCCTGCCTTGGTGGTCACCCTGCCTTGGTGGTCACCCTGCCTTGGTGGTCACCCTGCCTTGGTGGTCACCCTGCCTTGGTGGTCACCCTGCCTTGGTGATCACCCTGCCTTGGTGATCACCCTGCCTTGGTGATCACCCTGCCTTGGTGTCACCCTGCCTTGGTGGTCACCCTGCCTTGGTGGCCACATTACCTTGGTGGTCACCTTGTCTCAGTGGTCACCCTACCTCAGTGGGAGATGGCCGATCTGCTAAAAAAAAATACCTGGGGTAATATTCATGCTTCATATGAATATTACCTACTTGGTTTGAATACTATATTTTGGAGCAGATTTCCTTTTACCAGTGTAAATATTCCACCTGATTATTGAATTTAACATAGATCTCATTGATATATAATATGTACTTGGTGCCTTTATTTATGAGGATTTAGTTTAGAAAAACCATATACAGTGGACCCCCGGTTAACGATATTTTTTCACTCCAGAAGTATGTTCTGGTGCCAGTACTGACCGAATTTGTTCCCATAAGAAAAATTGTGAAGTAGATTAGTCCATTTCAGACCCCCAAACATACACGTACAAACGCACTTACATAAATACACTTACATAATTGGTCGCATTCGGAGGTAATCGTTATGCGGGGGTCCACTGTATTTAACTATTTAAGCAATGTTAATTTTGCAGGAAACATTCATGTTTATCTGACTAAGTTGCCAGTGCTAGGAGGAGCTCATGGTTCTAGAGTGGCTTACCTCACATCATTACTAGAAGTGACAGTAACTAACATTGTGGAAAAGGTAAGTCACATTTCTAGTATTACCTTTCTTATAATATTCTTAGAAGTTAAACATGTTTTGAATATTTTTTGATAATAATTTTGAGGTTGAAATTGAACTTAAACCAATTTGCATAAAAAAGTGTATTCAGTCGAGCAGTGTTTTCAGAACTGTAAATTACTTTCTCTGTTGAATTGTTTCTTCTGGAGTTAGTGGTCTTATTTTTATTACTTGGTTTTACCTTGGGTGTTTTTATGTGTGTTTTATATATTTTTTTATTGCCAAGAGCACTGAGTAGTCTCCTAGGTGAAAACACTAATCAAATTTCACAACCTGTTCCTTGTGCAGGAACATCCATTGACTGTAAGTGTGGACGTTGAGCCAAGTTTTTTGGGTGTTGGTCCATTTCATCTGGTGGTGGGAATGAACAACCGTGCTTGGATCTACACGCTCGGAGAAGAGTCAGCAATGCTGCTCAGGGATCGAGAATATTTAGGAACCATCACGTCAGTGCATGTGAATGCAGACTATGCTTCTGTCTTGTATGAGGGCAAGATACAGTTTCATTTAGTAAGTATTGTTCGCTTGTTGTAATATTACCGTGTAATGAACAAGTTATTATGATAAGTATTGTTCACTTGTTGTAATATTATTAATGTATATTTGGGCTGTACTTTCATTCACCAATAATTACTTCTATGTTAAGTTAGCATCAGTTTTAGTAAGTGTTCATTGACTTGTTGATTTTTTTTTCACACTAATATGCTTACTAAACTCTTGGTGAAGCAATGAAGCAAATTCACCATTGTATACATAAAATATTGGAAAATTTTGCATGATATCATGTTTTTAAAATATTATTTTCTAAGATTAATAGACAGATTATCAAATGAGATTGACGGGTATATGTATTTGTAAGTACAAATATTATATTGTGTTTGTTGTTACAATTATTAAGTGAGATTGATGAGTAAGTTGATAATACAAATATTATATTGAGTGATTGTTATTACAGTTAGAGGGAGAGACTGGGGAGGATGAAGAGCGAGAATCTAGACTGTTCCCGAGTGCTGATCAAGCAGACATGCACATCATGGATCATGCACTCACTGCTGATTTCCTCATATACTCCACTGATGTATGTTTTTATGTATTATGATTCATGCTCTCATTGAAACTCCTTATTTTCTCATGTCCTGGTTAGACTTATAGTCCTGGAATATAGGCTTTTTAAAAAGTGGCAAGAAGGATTACAGTGAATTGACTATTTTTTTTTTTTTTTTTAAATACTAGTCGTATCCCACCGAGGCCAGTGACCTAAAAGAAAAAAAATGAAAGCTTTTCCTTTTAAATTCAGTAATTCATATGGGAGAAGGGTTTATTAGCCCCTGAATTGACTATATGTATAAGAAATTTTTCTCCATGGGAAAGTGGAGAAGAATCTTTCCTCTGTAAGTCATATGCGCTGTAAGGACAGCTAAAATGTCGGGAGCAAAAGGCTTGTAACCTTCTAATTTTTTTTTAATGCTGGCCATCTCCCACTGAGACAAGGTTACCCGAAAAAGAAACGCTTTTACCATATTAAACACTGTTGCTGTCTTACCAGAGGCGCACGTAAACGACAGTTTAGATGTCAATCCAAACAGCAAATATCCCAAACCCCTCCTTTAACCCTTTCAGGGTCCACAGGCCCTATCCCAGACGTGTTCTCAGGGTCCCCCAAATTTCAAAAAAAAAAAAAAAATTCTTATGAAAAGATAGAGAATCTTTTCCTGATCATAATGACACCAAAAGTATGAAATTTGATGGAAAACTTATGGAATTATGCTCTCCCGAAGTTAGCAGTCTCCACAATGTTTGCGCATCAGCGATTTTACCCACTTTGAGCACTATTTCCGGCCAATTCCAGTGTACTAGTCGACAAAAATCATAACTATTTCGCTAGAACTCCATTTTTACTATCGAATGAGTACAAGAAACCACCCATTTACTGATTTCAACTATCCAATACAGTGATCAGAATTTAGCAATTTTGCCAATTTCACACAAATTTCAAAAGATGCCAATTTTTCCCAAATATTGGTGTGAATAAAATGCATAGAATATCGTAAGTTTTGGAAGTTAGGAAGAGTGCGGGATTACCAAACTGTTGTTCACAGAGGCTGAGAAGGGTTTGTTTGAGGTGTTCGTAACATGTAGAGCTAATGGAGCGAAACAGAATGGACTTCAAGAGGTGTATCAGTCTGTAGTTGAAAGGAAGGGCGGGGTAGGGGTCGGCAAGGAAATGGTTGAGGGAGGGGTAAAGGAGGTTTTGTGTGCCGAGGGCTTGGACTACCAGCAGCGTGCGTGAGCATGTTTGATAGGAGTGAATGGAGACGAATTGTTTTTAATACTTTACGTGCAGTTGGAGTGTGAGCAAAGTCACATAATGAAGGGTTTTCAGGAAACCGCAGGCCGGACTTGAGTCCTGGAGATTGAAGTACAGTGTCCGGCACTCTGAAGGGTGTGTTTAATGTTGCAGTTTAAAAACTGAATGTAAAGCACCTTCTGGCAAGACAGAGATGGAGTTAATGATGGTGAAAGTTTTTCTTTTTCGTGTGCACCCTGGCCTGGTGGGAATTGGCCAAGTGTGATAATAAAAAAAAAAAAATAATTCTCATTTGGTCACATTTGATAAAATGGAAACATATATAGAAATAGAGGTGGATTTCGATTAGTTTTTACTATGAAAAGAACCTTGAAATGAGCTCAAAGTAGGGGAAATGTTTGATTTTTGCAGATGTTCAAAAATAAACAAATTAATGTCAAATTACCGAGGTCAAGTAGCCTTCAAATATGCGTTATGAATGAGTTGACATTATTTACACAATAATTACATATTTTGCAATAGTCTGCGTAACAGTAAACCTTCTATTTCGTAAATAAAAATCAAATAGAAAGCAAGAGTAATATCAAAGGGGTCTGGAGATGTGACTGATGAACAAAATAAAATGTTGCTTTAGAGCCAAATGTCTGGCATTGTCCCATTCTTTTCTGGGCCCTATTTTGAATTGTCAAATTTTTTAAAATTTTGTGAAATTGGCCGAATATGCAAAAATCTGACCACAATTATTGTTAAAGTTTGAAATCATAAATGGGCAGGTTTTCTTGTACTCAATCCCATAGAAAAAAATGAGTGTCTAAAGAAATACTATGAGTTTGGTCACCTGGAACAATGGAACTAGCTGAAAATAGGGCTCAAAGTGGGCAAAATTCGCCGATTTGTAAATATCGCCGGTGGTCGCTAACTTCGCGAGAGTGAAAACCGTCAATTTTCCATCAAATTTCGTCTTTTGGTGTATTACAATCGGAAAAGATTCTCCATCATTTCAATAGAAAAAATAATTTTTTTTTTAAATTTTCTGACACCATGAACACCTCCAGGATAAGGGTTTGCGACAGTCCAAAGGGATAGGCACCACCACCTGTGTTCACAAATGCAAGTTTTACAGATGAATCTCCAACTAGCATGAACCGTACGAACTCTAGCTCAAGTCCCCTCAAAGCCGTCAACAAGACTCTCAAAATCTTAGCTGCCTAGTGGCTAACTACGACGTTCTGGAGTTTTGAGACTACCTCTGACCCGCGGGTACAAACCCCAACCCATGGTATGGCTTGCAATCATGTCAATACGATTTCGTGAGTCATGTTTGACTACTTTTGAGGTGACTTGATCAGAGTTTGTCACGGTCATGCAAGCTGGAGATTTCCTGTAAAACTTATGGGGTATCTGGGGGGGGATAACCTTCCTATGGTGTAAGAAATATACCTACTTGGGACAAATCTTATTGAAGTTTAGTGGCCCAGTGCTAACAGCGACGGTCGGGGTTTTTGAACCTCTGACCACGGGGTTCACACCCACCCGTGGAATAATTGTCTCCTTACTCCCTCCCCTTCTCTCATCTCTTACTTTCTTCTCCTACCTCCATCTCTTTCCTGTCCTTCCTTCCCTTCTTACATCCTTCCCTTTAGGTTTCCTGGGCATGCTTTTCAATCAAAATACCCCATAACCATGAAATTTTAACTTCACTGACACTTCCATCGTGTTTGAACTGTCACTTGGAACAAAAAGAGCCCCATCAGCCGAGGAGTGAGGATTATCTTAGCAACTAAACATGATGAATAAGTGTACTAAAATGATTCCCACAAGCACACTGGTCCCCAATTTTTTTGTACATGGTGCACCACTGTACCATTAAGACCCCTTTCTCACACAAAACTAGTGGTAACCAGCTGTTTCCCACTTAACCCTTTCAAGGTTTCCCGACGTACTAGTACGGCTTAACGCACCAGGGTTTTTGACGTACTAGTACGCCTAAATTCCTAGGGCCCTCAGAAATCTAGTGAAAGCTGACGAGGCCTTAACATATGACATATAAAGGGTCTATGAGTTCAGTGGTGCGGTATAAAAAAAAGTCCACTGCATCGACACAGTGCATAATGAGAAAAAAACAAACTTTGACAGTGTTTTTGTTTAAACAGCGACTATGCACTGTTATTTTCGTATGGTAATTTATATGTATTCCAGTGTTCCGGGTCTCATTTTATAAATGGAAGTACCAATTACAGAATTGTGATGATTTTTGATTGGTTTTACAATGAAAAGAACCGTGAAATTGAGCTCAAAATAGCAGAAATCTTCGATGTTTTGCCAAAGTTTCAAAATAAAACAAATCATGCTATGCGTCCAATACACATCAACTGGTGAGTCTAATATTCTTTCACTAGTATCAGATTTATTTATACCATTCTCTACACTAATGCAGTTGTCTGCATACAGTAAATCTTCTATTTTTGTGAGAATAAAAATCAAAGTTGGAAAGCAAAAAGTAATGTAATAGGGGTGTGGGGGACGTGACTAATGAACAGAGGAAATGGTTTTTATTTTAGTGCCAGGAATGTCTTTCTTTCTTTATTCTGCACCCTACTTGGAAATTGGCATCTTTTGAAATATGAGTAAATTGCAAAATAGCTAAAAATCTGATCACATTATTGATAGTTGAAATCGGTAAATGGGGTTTCTTGTACTCATTCGATAGAAAAAATTGAGTCTAGCAAAATAGTTATGATTTTTTGTCGACTAGTACACTGGAATTGCCGCCAAATAGTGGCACAAAGTGGGCAAAATCGCCGATGCGTAAAGATCATCGAGACTGTTAACTATGCCAGAGCAAATATACCGTAAGTTTTCCATAAATTTCATACTTTGGTGTCATTATGATCCGGAAAAGATTTCTCCTATATTTTCATAAGAAAAAAAATATATATTTTTTGTGAAAATTTTGTCGACCCTGAGAACAGTCTTGGAGAAGGGCCTTTCGACCCTGAAAGGGTTTAATTTGAGGCTGCAAGAATTTACACGACTAGTACAATGCACCAACCCTGTCGCAGTAAGCCATAACTATATGGCACCAACCCTAAAAGGGTTAAGCAATAAAGTGACGAAAAATAGGCAACATGAAACTGACTCCCGACTCCTCCAAAGTTGTTGGAGGTATATAGGCCCACTGACAATATATGCCACTCCTGCCATATCTTCCACACCAATACAGCAACTCCTCCAAGTCACAGTAAGTGCACAACTATTTCTTATTATAAATTAAATGTAATATTTCTTATTTCTAAAGTACAGTAGGGCCCCCTTTATGGCTTTCGCTTCAACGGTGTTCCGCTAATTCAGTCATTTCAAAATTAAGAACAAAACTACACGCTATAAAACGGACTCCCCCACCTGACCTTTCTAATAACAGTCACCCGGTTTTGTTTACAATCACTGTGAGATCCATAAGCACTAAGTCCTCTCCCATTAATCCGGAAACACAAAAATTTCCAAGTTTTTAAAAGATTTATTTCATATTTTATATATATCTCTGTATACTTATGTATACTTTTTTTTGTTACCTAAATTAAACTTACATATTGTGCCAGCATGCTGTACACATTAAATCAAGTAAGAGACTCTATATCTCGAGACTTCACATTATTAATGATAAAATAATCACTCGAGTACCAAAAACCCTTTTGAGGTTTCGGGGCGTACTAGTACAGCTTGCTTACGACCCATGGTTTTTTGAAGTACTAGTACGCCTAAATTCTAGT